ATTTGTCTACTGTGTGCACACGTGCACTTGCACTTAGGCAGGAGTGAAGATTACCCCAGAGTCATCTTCAGGAACATCCGCTGCCTTTGAGACAGGCATCTCTCATTGGCCTGGAGCTCACCAGGCAGGCTAGACTTCCTGGCCAGTTAGTACTCAGATCCTCCTGGCTAACACTGGGTTTCTGACTTCCTAGCACTGGAACAGCAAACATGCCCCATACCCAGTGTTTTCACATGGGCTCTTGGGATAGAACTTATCTTCAATCTTGCAAGATAAGTCAGCTGACCCCCAGCCCCTTGTGGTATTTGATACCATAGAACAAAGGGTATTCAATGTTAGGTTTTAAAGTCGTCAAGCCTGAGAATACATAAATACACAATGGCCAAGTTGTGTACAGGGCCATTTCAGAAATTGTTTGAAGTCCTGTGCTAATGCCAACCCAAAATTCAGCTAATAATTTATGAAACAACTCACATGGCAATCTTTTAAATAATACCTACTTAACACAATCCAAAGACACTAATTTGGAGCTTGTATGCTTGCTGAGGTATGGGCAGGGAACTATGAAAAGTCTTTGTTTTCCATAATTAAGTCACTGCATGTCTGCAACAGCATCCTGTAACTCACAGCACACAGCAGTCTGGCATCTGAACTGACTGGGGCAGTAGGTGGCAGGAAGGCAGTACAGCACCTGTATTTGTGTTAGAATCAAGGTCCAGCAAGCTCTGAGGCACAGCAGAAACACCTCGGGTCCATCACACTTTGAGTTAATGTCAGGTATGTTCAGAAACCTGTCACTGAGCCAGTGAGATGGCTCAATTCCACCTCCTGATGCCACCATGGCAGAACCCATCCCCGAAGGCTGTCCTTTGACTTCACACACAAACCACTGCACAGCATTCACTCGCGCACACATACTCGCACGAACACGCGAACGAGAAAACACACACACACACACACACACACACACACACACACACCCTTCCAACACAATTACTTTTTAAAGAAACCTTTTATCAATCCCAAGTGTTTTGTGATCTCCACGTACATGGAATTAAGACTCAACAGTTTAAGAAACTTGGCCCTATCCCACAAATCATTCCTTGCGCCTTTACTGTAAATTATCAATGTCAAGGACAAGGCTTTTGTGAATAAAGTGAGAAAACACCCCAGTTTCAGCACAAACACAAACCTGGCACTCCTGTCGATCCCAAAATTTTTCCACTTAAATAATCCAGTTCCAGGAGAGAGAAACCCTGTGTGTGTGGGTGGCTGGGGTGGGGTGGGGTGGAGTGGGTGGTGGTGAACTAAAACAAACAAACAGCAACAACAAAAAACCATGTATGTTGCCTACATTTATGTCTGGGCACTGTGTGTATGCTTGGTGCCTGAAAAACCATAAGAGGATGTCAGATCCCTGGACTGGTGTAACAGATGGCTGTGAGCCACGATGTTGATGCTGGAAATTGAACCCGATTTCTCTGCAAGAGCAATCACTACTCTTAACTCTACAGTCCCATGCTTCATAACTTTTTACAAGGAAATTTCCTTTACAGACTTTTTGAGAAAATGGTCCTTCAATGGGAACATATTAAAAGCTCTGAAACAGCCAGGCAGTGGTGGCGCACCCCTTTAATCTCAGCACTCGGGAGGCAGAGGCAGGCAGATCTCTGTGAGTCGAGGCCAGCCTGGTCTACAGAGTGAGTTCCAGGACAGCCAGTGTTGGCATTCAGGCATCTGTACTGGTCTGTCCTTACGGTCCTGACAGGATACATCCTCAGCTGCAGCCACTAAGAGCACCCCCTGTGTGCATTTGCTACGGTCCATTAGAAAAGACAGGCCCTGCCTGGCTCTCTTTCTCTTCCTTTGCTCTTGTCCCCAGGGACTAGTCTCTGCCCCTTCACTCCTCTCCCCTCACTGAAACCTCCCACACGGGCCCTGTTGTATGGTGTTGACTCCTTTCTGTTATTTTTAAAATACAACAGCTAGAGCTACACAGAGAAACCCTGTCCCCCAAAACAAGACACACCAAATCTCTGAAACACCCTTTAGTTGAGCCCAAGCTATGAGACTCAATGCATGTCACACTTGCACCACTCTGAAGCTAAGCTTAGGGAAAACCTGACAATCCTGAGGTTGTCTCACTGTGGAAGATGTCCAGCTGACAGAGCAGGACTGATGGTGGCCACTGATTGAATGTCTGCGAGGGATTATCTAGATTAGGTCAATTCAGGTGGGAAGATCCCTCATGAATGTGGCGATATCAATCCTTAGGCTGGGGTGTGGTGGTATTGTGTTCCCCAAAATATTGTGAACCCTAATAAACTTATCTGGGGTCAGAGACAGAATAGCCACAATACTAAACATAGAAGTTAGGCAGTGGTAGCACACGCCTTTAATCCTAGCATTCCAGAGGCAGAAATCCATGTGTTCAAGGATACAGCATGGTGACTCACGCCTTTAATCCCAGAAAGCGAACCTTTAATCCCAGGGAGTGGTGGTAGAAAGCAGAAAGGTTTATAAGGTGTGAGACCAGAAACTAAGAAGCATTTGGCTGGTTAAGCCTTTGGCTGGTTAAGCTTCAGGCTTTCGAGCAGCAGTTCAGATGAGAGCAATTGGGATGAGGACACAGAAGCTTCCAGTCTGAGGAAACAAGACCAGCTTGAGAAGTTGGCCAGGTGAGGTTAGCTGTGGCTTGTTCTGTCTCTCTGACCTTCCAGCATTGACCCCAATAACTGGCATCAGGTTTGATTTTATTAATAAGAACTTTTAAGATTCATGCTACACTGGGGGTCAAGACTGAATAAACTAATCATTGCTCTCTGGGTGTGTTATGATCAACTATCTCAAGCTCCTATCACATGACTCCCCCTTCACCATGGACTGTAGCCTCCAACTATGAGTCAGAATAAACCCTTCCTTATTACATGCCGCTTTTGTCAGGGATAGCACAACCAGTATAGCAGCACACCCCGTAAGACTTGACAGGGCCACAGAAAGAAGCCCACAAACACCAGACAGCCCTTCAACAGAAGGGATCCTTTCCCAGCATTCCAACTCTTACTAGCAACACCCCTTAGGACTCTCTTACTTGTGAGACAGAACTAAAGCTTTCAGGTCAGGCTATCTCCAGGTGCAAAAGGGGGGAAAAAGAATCAAAATGACTTAAGCATTATATAAAGATTTTGTAGTCACACATTTTAGGAAAGTGTAGAAATTTAAAAAAAAAAAAAAGGTAGAATTAAACCATAAAGCAACCAGGTGTGGTGGTGCACACCTTTAATCCTAGCAAGGGAGGCGGAGGTAGGCAGATCTTGAGTTCAAGGCTAGCCTGATCTACACAGTGAGTTCAAGGGCAGCCAGGGCCACATAGATAGAAACAATAGAAAAAGCCATAAGCAAGCAGTTTTAGAAATTATTTTCTAAGTAACCTGAATCTACTTTACAGGACACTATGACAGGAACATTTCCTCCTGCAAAGGGAAGGGAGTAAATACAGGCACACTCACCCTCAACAAACAAAGACATCTCGTCCCAATGATCCGCAAGTACTGGTACAGACTGTCTTAGAGTTTCTGTTGCTGTGATAAATCACCATGACCAAAAGCAACTTTGGGAGAAGAGCTTATACTTCTAGGTAACATTTCGTCACTAAAGGAAATCAATGTAGGACTCTAGGCAGGAACGAATAATGAGGCTATGGAGAAGTGCTGCTGACTAGCTTGCTCCACCTTTCTTACAACATCTAGGACCACTAGTCCAGGGTGACACCACCCCTGGGAGTTGGGCCCTCCCACAAAAATGAACCACAGGCTAGTCTGGTAGGATTTTATCAATTAAGGTTCCCTCTTCCCAAATGACACTGGCTTGTGCCAAGTAAACATAAAACTAGCTAACACACAGACTCTAACTGCAATTTTCTGATAACTACTTAACATAAGCCACCTGGGCCCTGGGTACTTGGCTCAATCAATCCTTATGTCGAATTTGAAAAGAACTCTTCATAAAGGTGTCAGGTACCTACACTAATGAGAAGTAACAAGGTAATTAAATGAAATGTTTATCACATAATCAAACTACATCTGTTTTTTTTTTTTGGGGGGGGGTGTTTCAAGACAGGGTTTCTCTGTGTAACTTTAGTGCCTGTCCTGGATCTTGCTCTGTAGACCAGGCTGGCCTCGAACTCAGAGTTCTGCCTGACTCTGCCTGCTGAGTGCTGGGATTAGAGGCGTGCACCAACACCGCCCGGCCATATCTGTTTCTTAATTTACTCAAACCAACTGAAATTTGTATAAGCTGAGGCTCCTCTATCCAAAATGCTTGGGCTCGGGAGTGTCTTGAGGATGGCATAAAAGTCTAAACATAGAATTCATGGTTTCATATATGCTTATTCACATATCCTGAAAAACTTATACAGTATTTCCGATAATTTTCTATTTTAATATAACAAAATTTCATGGTGAGGAATTTTCCACTTGTAGTACCATGCCGGCTCTCAAAAAGTTTGGGATTCTGAAGCGTTTCGAAATTTGGATTTCCACATTCGGGATGCTCACAAGCTGCACTTCCCAAGCTGCAAATCCACAGGACTAGACCCTAAGCTCGTCACCGAGTTACGACGTTGCTACTCAACAATTTTTATTTCAAAACAGGAGTCACAGAGTAGCTTTCTGGTTCTCCATCTCGTCTAACAAGCCATCCATCAACGCTGTCTTTCTCGGTGGTCTCGGTTTCCTGAACCGCGAAATGGGACCATCCGCTCAGGATAAGGAATGCGACCAGCCCGCGTTTCCCGCAATCCCCCCTCGCTCACTCTCTGCAAGCCGCGGCTGCAGCTGCTCTTGCCGCTCCAGCCTCTCCGCGGCCTTCGGGTTCCTGCGTGTTATCCCGCTGTACACGGCCCGCCTCGGCCCGCCTCGGCCCGCCTCGGCCCGCCTCGGCCCCTTACCTCCCTCCGGCTGCCTGACAGCGCCCAAGGCCCCGGGGCGCCGCGCACTCACCTGCAGGTGACCTGCTTGGTGCTCATGGCGGCGGGGCCACGGGCTGGAGTCGCGCCAAACTCTCAGAGCCGCCAGCGACACGGCCCAGCCCGGCCCCGCCCCGCGCGCGCAGTCGCGTCACTCTTGCGCGCGCCACCCCCGTGCGTGCGTCAGCTGTAGGGTGCCGGCCGGAAACTTAACCGCCGTCATAATTAGTTCCGTCGGGGGCGTGGAGCCGGAAGGTCCTTACTCCCTAACGCTCCGGGTCTCGCCTTTTCAAGACTAAGGGGTTGAGCGTGAATGGCATCCTAGACTTGCCAATCGTCTGCAGGGCCGTTACTTCCTAGGGTTTGGCCCATCTCCAAGACATTCTTTTTCTTCTTCTTTTTTTTTTCCGAGACAGGGTTTCTCTGTGTAGCTTTGGCGCCTTTCCCGGAACTCACTCTGTAGACCAGGCTGGCCTCGAACTCAGAGATCCGCCTGCCTCTGCGTCCCGAGTGCTGGGATTAAAGGCGTGCGCCACCACCGCCCGGCTAAGACATTCTTTTTCAAAGGTAATTTTATTATTTTTATTTTATGATACGGGTGTTTTTGCCTGCATGTATGGCTATGCGCCAACCATGAGCACGCAGTGCCGGAGCAGTCTAGATGAGGGAGTTAGATCCCCTGGAACTGGAGTTACAGATGGTTGTGAGCTGCTATGTGGGTGCCGGGAACTGAACTTTTTGTCCCCTGCAAAAGCAGCCAGTGCTTCTAACCACTGAGACATACTCTAATAAGAATATTTTTATTTCTTTGATAATTTCATATATGTGTACAATGTATCTTGATCATATCCAACCCAAAAGCTCCTCTCCCTCTGGTCTTTTTATGTAAATACACACACACACACACACACACACACACACACACACACACACACACACACACACATTACTCAAGGCAGGAACCTGGAGACAGAAACTGAAGCAATATGTGCATATATATATATTATATATATATAATTTTGATTTTTGCAAATATAGTTGTGTTGTCAGCTTTGAAAAAGCATCTCCCAGTTTATTGTGTTGAATGGGCATTGTATAGAAATTAACAGCATATTGGTCTGGAAACATTATACTTATTTTTTCCATTTGTATAGAGGTAGTGCACTGTATTAAACATGTAAGGTCTGCTGAGTGCTCAGCTCTAAATAGGACATCTATGTCAACACTCAACCCTGCAAGCAAGGCTCAGGGAACATCATGGAAGAAAGGGTAAAAGAATGTAAAAGCTGGAGGGTGGGAGGAATGCTAAGAAATGCTGTCCTCTGTGCATTAGCTTTAGAACTCTGAACTCCCAGCAGCTGTAGCTACCTGCACAAGACTGGGCCTGTGGCCAGATGTGGTGCTGCATGCCTTTAATTCTAATCCTTCAGTCAGGAAACAGAGGTAGTTAGATCTCTATGAGTTTGAGGCCAGCCTGGTCTACACAGACTAGCCAAGACTACATAGTGAGACTTTGTCTGAAAAAAAAAAAAAGATTGGAATCAGTATTCCATCACAAATGGGGGAGGGGCTCATAAGGATCCACCTCCTCCACAGCGGGCTATAAGAAGTTGGTGGTTGGTTTTTGGGAGAAGGGAGTCATATTCCTTGGTGGTGTACCACTAGCAAGTTGCCCTTGCTCAAGTACGTGATCCCTTCTGTGTTCATGCAAACAGCCTCCCTCGTATGATCATAAGTATCTTGGGAGAGGGAAGGGTTTATTTCAGCTTGCAGTTCCATGCAACAGTCCATCACTGAGAGAAGTCAGGGCAGGAGCTCAAGGCAGGAACCTGGAGGCAGAAACTGAAGCAACAACAATGGAGGAATGCTGCTTACTGGCTTGCTCCCTGTGGCTTGCTCAGCCTGCTTTCTTACAGCACGCAGGACCACCAGCCCACATGAGCTGGGTCCTCCCATATCAATTATCAATCAAGACAATGCACCATAGGTTTGTGCACAGGCCAGTGTGGCAGAGGCATTTTCTTAATTGAGGTTTTCCTTCCAATAACTCTGGCTTGTGTCAAGTTGCCATGAAAACTACCTAGTATAGTGCTACACACCTGTAATCTCAGCATTCTAGAGTTGGAGGCAGAGGTCAAGCTCATTCTGGGCTAACCTGGGCTAATTGAGACCTTGCCTTAAAAAGAAAAAAAGTTGGGCAGGAGTAGGGGGACTAAAGAGATTACTTAGTAGTTTAACAGAGCTGAGAGGACAGGACTTTGTAAGGTGACCTTAAGAAAGAACAGCAGACCTCAGCTGCCTAACTTCTTTAAAGACAACCCTGCCTTGCTCATCAGTGTCTCCAGCCCTCTCCTGAGGGTATGTGAGGTCAGGCAGACCCGTCCTGCTGGGGACGGTAAGACACAAGTGGTTTGTAGCTGACACATCCATCTCAGTATAGTTTGATGAGAAGGCAGCACTCTGTAAGGCCTTGCTACACAGCCAGGAACACAACTGCCAGTGCGCACCCCCAAAGAAGATGGCTAACTCTGAAACAAGCTCCCTTCCTTACCCTTCCAGGGGCCACTGCGCCCGTTACCTATAAATGCTGTGTGTGGAGCAATGCCAATTCGTGGTTCCTTACATCATTCCTCCTCTGTCTCATAGCTCTACCTGCTACAGGACAGTCCTGGCTACTCTAAATGCTAAATGAAAAAAAAAGGGAAGAAAACAGCAACAAAACCCCCTTGAGCTATTTCAGATACTTGAGACTGACTGCTAAGGGCAAGAGGCCACTCTGCTGGGACCCTGGCTAGTGGGCGTTCTAGAGCCTTGAGGGTGCCTCATATTGCTGGTGTCTCAGATGCTTCAGCAAGAGCCCCCTTCCCTCTGCAACAGATTTTAATTTTTTTACTCTTATTTAATGTACACTGGTTTTTGGCTTTTGTTTTTTATATCCATTGTAAGATGGATATGTCTTGGGGGGGGAATGTACCTTTGGGGAAACAATTACAGTTTGTTTCTCTGAGAAAGAAAGGAAGGAAGGAAGGCTGTGTGGAAAATAAGAAAACAGATTCAAAATACTAGTGAAAATTAGAAGTTTGTTTGTTTTTGTTTTTTGAGCCAGGGTTTCTTTATGTAGCCCTGGCTGTTCTGAAACTCACTCTGTAGACCAGGCTGGCCACCAACTCAGAGATCTGCCTGCCTTTGCCTCCCCAGTGCTGGGATTAAAGGCGTGCGCCACCACTGCCCAGCTAACAAAGCCGTTTTTAATGTACCATCCTGTAGACAGGACACTAGCATAGAGAAAAGGCAAAAATGGCTTCCTGCTGTTTTGACAACAGACTGGTTTTTAAAGTCCCCATAATCACAAGGAATTCCTGCCACCTTTTCCTTAAGGCTGGGACTTACCTCTTCTGTAAAGTCCCCACTCAATTGGATCAGGACACAAAGCCTTATCTAATGAATAATTTGGGGCTTGAGACTGCCCCTTTTCTGACGGGGGACTGTGTCATGCAGCAGGCTGCCCTTAACTTTCTAAGTCTCAGAGTTCTGAGACTCCTGGGCACCAGCTGCCAGTTAGGGGAGAGGGAAGTTGAGCGCCCTGTTTATCTGATGGCCCTCTGATGAACGCTGAGCCCACGCCGTACTGCAAATGGACTATAACAATTTATCTCTTCCAACAGGAAGGCAGTCACAATGAGTCTACTGTTAGTTCCACAAGGCAAGATTGGGGGAAGGAGGTCTGCGAACGCGCAGGTCTGCAAAGAAACGTGGTAAGCCAGCTCAAATGAAAACTAGCTCTTTAAGAGCCCAGCGGCCACAGCCTGGTTACTGGTTAATCTACCTGGCTTAGCTTTGGAAGCTTCCTCCCATGATGATGTCATCGCCGATCAGGTTACTCAGGTGGTGTGAGTTGGCCAGCGCCAGCTGTGGAATGAAGGGAAGGAAGTCTCCAGAAACCTGTGCTGGTGGCCCAGGAGTCAGACGGTATGCACTTCGCAGGAGCTGGAAAGCCTCTGATTAAATTCAGGCACTGCGAGAGGTCCATCTACAGTTTCAGTGTACCCCAGTGCTGCCCCCTGTGCCAGGGGGTCGTGGGCTCCACCAGGATAGAGGACGCACCTATCAGCATCTCAGACCCGTTCTCCAATGGGCATCAAGAGAAATGCTCCTTCCTCCTCAAACCCACGAGAGGGACGTTCCTTAGGTACGGTGGCTCGAGTTATAATGCACCGTGCGTGTGTTTCCTGCTGTGTGCCAGCCATTAAACCGTCTCGGAAGGCCATGTGCCATGCTGTGCAGTGTGTGTGTGGTTGCTTTGGGTAGACTGTTGTCCTTATGTCTTCATCTGAAGGCCCATCTGTCCATTAGAGTGGGTGCTGTGGGGCCAGGGTGTGTGGCTTGCCTGCCTTGGGAAGGCCCTGGGTTTTGTGTACACATTTATGTAGTACGTGAAAGACTGTACATGGTGGTGTATGAAGATGCCCGCTGACTTTAGGAGAAAAGTGTGTGCTGAGTGGCTGACTGGGGGTAACCTGGCAGTGCATGTTATTGGAGAAACACTGTAACCTACAGTTCATACTTACGTGGCAAGCAGGTACAGTGCGCAGAGCAAAGTACAATCCTGAGAGATAGTTCTTGATGGAGGTGAATTAAATTAACAATGATGTCTAAGTCACCTCTCCTATTTCTTTTCATTTCCTCTTCCTTTTATAGTGCCAGAGGTCAAACCCAGAGCCTCCTGGAGGTTGTGTGCTGGGCCAGTGCCCAGTGCTAAGCTGCACTTCTAGCCCCTCTGCCCTTTGCTTTTCCCTTGAGACAGGCTCTTGCTGTGTGACACTGACTGGCCTGGAGCTTGCAGTATTGACCAGGGTGGTCTTGAACATGTGACCTTCCTGCCTCAGCCTTTTGAGTGCTAATATCACAGACATGAGCCAATGCATTCGGCTCTTCCAGGCATTAAAACATACAGATGAATAAAATTCCAATTAAAAAGTCAGTATATTTTTTCCTGGAAGTGCAAAGTTAATGTAATGTTAATTTTGAAAACTCAACAGCAGGAGCCAAGTGTGAAGGCTGGAGAGATGGCTCAGCTGTTAAAAGAATACTGGCTGCTCTTCCAGAGGATCTGGGTTCAGTTCCCAGCACCTCCATGGTGTCTCATGACCACCTGTAACTCCAGTTCCAGGGATCCAACTCTCAACTCTCTCCTCTGGCCTCTGTGGGCACTGCATATACATATATACAGGCAAAACACCTGCACTCATAAAATAAATCTTAAAATTTACATTATTAAGAAAGAACCAGGAAAATCCACATATAAAAGGGTTGTTATTTGTATTTTGTCTTTTTTTTTTTTTCAGAGCTGAGGACCGAACCCAGGGCCTTGTGCTTACTAGGCAAGCGCTCTACCACTGAGCTAAATCCCCAACCCCAAGGGCTGTTATTTTTAGATTCATACAGTTACCTTTCAATAAGAATATATTTGATGTTATTCAAATATTCAGCTTTTCTGGAGCTCCTCACTCCTTTGGGTAGATCCAAGTCTCCATTTTTCCATCATCTCTGTTGTGCTTCAAAACTTTTCTTTAACTTGTTGTTAACTTAGCCCAGGCTGGCCTTGAATTTGCTGTGTAGCCCAGGCTGGCCTTGAATTCCTCTCTCCTCCCTTGTAATGAGCACCTGTTTATTCCCTGGTCAATGTTAATACTGATGGCATGGTCCTTCCTGACCTGAGCAGAATGGGAAAAGAGGTGTGGACACTGGCCCTATGCCATGGTGTCTGCAGAAAACCATGGCAGCCCCGCCCACCGGACTCTCCAAACTGATTCCTTCCCTTTCATCCATGTTTCCAAGTCTGCCTTGAGTCCCCCAAAACTTGTGACAAAAGGAGAATGAACAGTGACCCCAGGGAGCCGCCAGGTTCTGCTTGAATGAGGTTGGTCAGCTCTGTTCACTGTGGCTGTGCGGGTTGCGGACTGCACACAGGTGCCTGGGCAGTGGGAGGTGTTGACCCTCAGCCTGAACTCCACCCACCAAGCCAAGGGCACTGTCCAGAACTGCGGTGGAGGCCTTTCCATAATCCATGCAAAGGGGCTAGAGGAGAAGGGGTGGCCAGACCACCAACATTCACTTGGTATTTTTCCACTCCATACTTACCAAGTGATTACAGTTTGTCGAACTTCAGTCTCCAGTATAACAAACTAGAGAAAACACAGGCTTGCCACACTAAAACTGAAATGGTCCTTCTGGAAGCAAGCCAGGAGGGCAGAGCCTCATGCTTTCCTGTGTCACCAGCAGCCTGACTCGACAGGCCCAGCTAACAGTCACATGACGGAGAATTTATGGGAGGAAGGGCGATCTGGCTAAGATGGAGCTAGGGAGTGAAGAGCGGGGAACACCCAGAGTGGGGAGCACCCAGAGTGGGGAGCACCCTGAGTGGGGAAACCAGCATCACTACAGACACATTCTTGTTCACTCTAGCCTCTGTGCCTACGAGGTCTCCATAAGCCCAAAACAGTCCCTGGGAGTGACTCTGAGAAGGGGCAGCAGTCATCCATGTCCTTGGCCATCATGAAGCTGGAGTTGCTTGCTCTACTGAAGTACCAGATATCCAGATTTGAGTCTAATACTAGGAAGGTGCCCTAGGAATGACCTACTGAGCAGGGTGTGGGAACCTAATCAAAGATACATGCCAGAAAGTGTCATAATGAAGTCCATTATTTTGTTAATGTACAATAACAAAACATTTGATGTTGGGTTACAGGTTCAAGGCTAGCTTGGGCTACATGGTGAACCTGTGTCCTAAATAAAAACAAACAAATAAAAAAGAACAATTTTAAGGGTGTGTGTGGGACAGAGAGAGCATGTGCTGAGCATGAGTAAGGACCTGGATTTGATCCCAGAACTAACCAACCCAAACCAGAAAAATCTCAAGCCAACAGAGCAACGGTAAGAAACAGCAATCTAGGGAGCACAGTGGGCCACAGGCTGCACTGAGCTGTCTTGAAGAAGGCTGAGAGTCTCTGTGCTGCCTCCAGGATGCTCTCACCCACATTAGCTGGTGGGATAGTGAGTGAACTCCCAGAGGGGAGGAGGAAGCTCTTCCACCATATGCCTGTGGGGGTGTGGGGGTCCTGAGTTCTGCTTCTGCTGTACCCTTTAGCCAGCCTGCAACTGATGGCAGGGCCTGGTACAGGCTTCCGGGGTGGGGGTGGGGTGCACACACTCCTCTTTTAAATGCCCATGCCTCAGTCATGCTTGGCATGAAGTGCTTGTCAATGGGCAAGATGGCACACTTGCAGTTGCAGCTGCCCTGGGGTCTGAGGCAGGAAGATCCTGAGTTCCAGGACACCCTGGGCTATTTATCAAGACTTATCAAACTGACACCCAATACAAACAACCCCTCTGTTTCAGGGAGTACGATGGAAAGTCTGATCTGCACGTTGGACTCACTAACACATGCGGTGAGCATTGCCTCCATTTTTCCAGCATAAGAAACCCCGTAAGAAAGCCTCCCTAAGGGGAAAGGAGGGTTTCCAGTTGGGATGAGGTCACAGCAACAGCAAACCCATTCTGCCTTCCTTGCTTCTCCTCCTGCAACCCAAAGCAGGTCATGTGACTTGGGCAAGTCAGCACTACTTACAGTCTATATATCTGGAAGACTAAGAACATTTTTTAGTGGTGCCAGGATGGGACCCAGGCAGGACCTCCTGCATGATCAACCCATGCCACCACTGAGCCACACTCGACCCCTGGGAAGGTCTAATGTTTCCTCAGAAAGAGCATCACAAACCTGCACACTTCTGTGCTGGGTTTAAAGAGAAAGAAACAGATGGACGGTCAGAAGTTGAGTCGATCAAGATCTCAGTTCTTATGTTTGAACCAGATGGCGGGCCTGCAGCTTCTGATTTCCTCACTCTCACAACCTGAGTTTCCCCACTACACTGGGTCCCAGTGCTTTAGACTTGAAGAGTGAAACGGGATGTGGTGAGGTCTGCAGTCTTTGGCTTTAGAAAAGTGGACTGGGTGGCTGTGTCAGAGCACGTGCCTAGCCTGAGTCTGGCTCTGGGTCCCACCTCAAGTACATAAGTCAAAAGCAGATTACTCACCATGTTCCATTGACAGGATTTAGCTCAGAGACTACTGAGCTTATTCCTGGGAGACGTAGTGGCGGGATACTTGCCTAGCATGCATGAGGCCCTGGGTTTAACCCCAACAACAAAAGTTTTTGAAAGAAAAAAAAAAAGACCCTCTGTATCTCACTAGATCAGGGTTCTCAACCTATGGGTCACAACCCACTTGGGGTCATATATCAGATATCCTGAATATCAATCAGATATTTACATTATGATTGAGAACAGCAGCAAAATTACAGTTATGAAGTAGCAACAATATAATTTTATGGTTGGGGTCACCACCACACAATGAACTGTATTAAAGGGTCACAGCAATAGGAAGGCTGAGGACCACTGCTCTAGATGGACAGCAGCTCTGACAGTTGTAGACAAGTGTGACACAGATTACAGGATCTACGGCTACTGTCGTTTTCTGAGCACCTGCCACAGGGTACTGCCTTGGCTTTGTGTTTTCAGGGGTCGTGTATAACTACAACGCACACGGCATACAGCGTGACGAGGCGGGATGGGAGCAGAGTCTCAGCGTTCCCCTAGTGCAGCCCAGCATGTTTGGACTGATGGACCAGTGGGACAAGTACTTGGAAGACTTCTCTGCTTCGCCGGCCTGGCTGCCTCACAGGTAGGTGTCTAGAAAGACTACAAGTCACTGTCACCCATTTTGTGTCATGTAAGTAGCATCCTCATTGCTCTGTGGTCACTGCTGGGTTTCAAGTATAGTCCATGCTTGAGATTGTCAGTCTGTGAGAACAGTTAAATCCAATTATTAGAAAATGTCCCTCGGGCTGGGGAGATGGCTCAGTGGTTAAGAGCACTGGCTGCTCTTCCAGAGGTCCTGAGTTCAATTCCCAGCAACCACATGGTGGCTCACAACCACCTGCAATTAGATCTGGTGCCCTCTTCTGGCCTGCAGGGACACATGCAGGCAGAACACTGTATGCATAATAAATAAAATAAATCTTTAAAAAAAAGAAAAAAAAAGAAAATGTCCCTCAAAGATTCATGCTTGAATACTTGGTTCTCCACATGGTGGCGCTATTATGAGAGGGAGGTTGTGTAGCTGGGGCCTGGCTGGAGGAAGTGGGTCTCGGGACAGGCCTTGGGGTTTGGAAGTTGCCTTCCTTCCTGTCCCATCTGTGTCTTTTGCTCCTTGGAGATGTGAGCAGCAGCCTCCCCTCGGTTGCCACCAGCCTTCCCACAGGACGCTAGGCTGGACAGGTCCCTCAGAGCCCAAATAAAGCCTTCCTGTAAGCGGCTGCTTGTCAGTAGTTGGTCCCATCGATCAGCAAAGTAACAGACACAGGACTCGGGCCATGGAAGTTTTCTGAGGAGTAGGGCCGGCAAACACTGTTGCTGCACACTCAAGTCAGTGTCTTGAGGGCTTCGTGCCTTGCTTACTTATTTCACTGATGTTGACAGGAGGCTTTTATTTTTAAGATTTATTTTAAGAATTTTATATATTTTCAATGTGTGTGGGTGTTTAACCTGAGAAGGAAACATGAAGGTGCCGGATCCCCTAGAACTGGAGTAAGCTGCCTTGTGGGTACTGGGAACTGAACCTGGGTCCTCTTGAAGATCAGACAGGGTTCTTAACTGCTGAGCTATCCTCTAGCCATTGTTTCCCCCGCCCCCAAGACAAGGTCTCACTGTGTAGCCCAGGCTGGCTACAAGATCACCATCCTCCTGCCTCAACCCCCAGAGTGTTGGGATTAGAGGATGTCGCTATGCCCAGCTATGAGAATATTCTAAATATACACAGAAAATCTATATTATATTTCATAATCTTATTTCTTTGAGACAGGGTCTCTCTTCATAACCTTGGCTGTCTTGGAACTCACTCTGTAGATCAGGCTGGTCTCCAACTCACAAAGATCTGCATGCCTCTGTCTTTCAAGTGCTAGGATTAAAGGTGTGTGCCACCACACCCAGATTGTAATTTTATTTCTTGACACAGGTTCTCATTGTGTGGACCAGACACACCATGAACTCTTAGAGATCCGCCTGCCTCTGACTCTGACATGCTAGGCTTAAAGGCGTGTGCCACTATGCCTGGTATTCCTAAATTTTTAAAAATATTGTTTACAGTGTACAAATACTTAAGTGTCATTTTTTGTTTTAGCAATTTGAAATTAATTTCTCATTTTCCCCTCTTCACTCTTTTTTCTAGAGATAAGCCCTGGTTGGCCTTGAACTCACAAAGATCTGCCTGCCTCTGCCTCTTCAGTTTTAGGATTAAAGATGTAAGTCTCCAAGCCTGGTCTCCATTTAAATTTTTTTTTTTTTTTGGTTTTTTGAGACAGGGTTTCTCTGTGTAGCTTTGTGCCTTTCCTGGAACTCACTCTGTAGCCCAGGCTGGCCTCGAACTAAGAGATCCGCCTGCCTCTGCATCCCGAGTGCTGGGATTAAAGGCGTGCGCCACCACCGTCTGGCTAAAAATTTTTTAAAATTACATTTTATTCATTTATTTTGGGTGCCTCTGAGTGTGTGTGTGTGTGTGTGTGTGTGTGTGTGTGTGTGCGCACCATAGCACACGTGTGGAGGTCAGAGAATAACTTGGAAGAGTTGGCTCTCTCCTTCTATCATGTGACTTCTGGAGACTGTCAAGAGTTGGTGGTAGGGTGCCTTTACCATCAAGCAGCTTTCTTTCCCCCTCCAAGACAGGGTTTTTCTGTGTAGCCCTGGCTGCCCTGGAACTCACTCTGTAGACCAGGCTGGCCTCGAACTCACTGAATGCTGAGATTAAAGGCATGTGCCACCACCATCGCCTGACTGACCAAGCAGCTTTTAATGTCAGCATTCTCAAGGGCCAGCATGGCGGCCTCAGCCATCCTGCCTTTCCTGAGGCAGGGGTTTGAGCCCAGCCTGGAAAGCAGTGATGGCCGTCTTACGTCACTGGAGCTCACTCTTCTCTTCAAGGTATGATGAGAACCACCACAACTGTTCCAGCTTTGCCCTCACCTTCATTAACTGTGTCCTTGCCATGGAAGGCAAAGAGCAGCTGGACAAGAGGGAGTTCACGGAGAAGTACGTGATCCCGAGGACGCGCCTGGCCTCCAAGTACATCACGCTCTACAGGGCCATCCAGGAGAGGGGCTTCCACGTGGCTGACCATCCCCACCCAGTGACAAGCCCCTCTTGAGCAGTCTGTGCTGAAGGCTGTGTGTGGTTGGGACAGGACATTCAGGTTTTCTACCTTTAAATGGTACTGCAGATGTCTAACTGTATTTAACTGTAGCTAATAAAAAATGTGTATGGTTTTCCTTTAACATATTATAAAAACGTGTAAAATTAACAAAAACAAATAAAAATTTACAAAACTAATAAAATCACACAGTATATAGTTCAGTGGGAGAACCACCTGCCTATCATGTAAGAGAGCATAGGTCCAGTCCCCTGACCACACCCCTAAATTAAAAAAAAAAATTAAATTGCCCTGGGTTTCAAAAAAAAAAAAAAAAAAACCCCCAAAAAACCAAACATTGTTTGTTTTTTTTTTTGGTTTTTTGAGACAGGGTTTCTCTGTGTAGCTTTGCACCGTTCCTGGAACTCACTCTGTAGTCCAGGCTGGCCTTGAACTCACAGAGATCCGCCTGGCTCTGCCTCCCAAGTGCTGGGATTAAAGGCGTGCGCCACACCACTGCCGTCCAGCTCCACTGCCGCCCAGCTCCAACAGTTGTGTTTTAAAGCTGAGAATCTGCTACTACCAAAATGGAAGAACCTTATTTACTGATGAAAGAAAACACTTTGTATCGATTAATTTAAGCTGACACATTTACTTTGTGATGTGACTGAAAAGAGTGAGGACCAGAGAGAGGGGACTGGGATAGAGCCAGGGTCTCTCACTGAACTGGAAGCTCACCATTTTAGCTCTGCTGGTAGAGAGCTCTCCAGATCTGCCCATCTCCCCCCCCCCCCCCCCCCCCATGCTGGGTTACAAGGCATGCACAGCCATGCCTGGCTGTGTACCTGGCTGCTGGATTCAAACTCAGGTCCTCAGGCTTGTGTGCCAAGTGCTCTTACACCGAGCCATCCTCCAGCCCCATCTCCATTTCACAGATGAGGAAGGCATTTCCCATTCCCAAGGCTACCTGACATCCTGGTGCTGACATGGAATGTGAACCCAGACTTGCATGTGTGATACTCGGGCAGACTTTCAGAAGACCTATCGCTGATTAAATGTGGTGTGGAAACTTAGCCAGCCTGGTGAGGGGGAGGCTGAGGAGGAGGAGGAGGAGGAGGAGGAGTTTGAGGCCAGCTCGAGCAACCTCGCAGAACCCTGTATCCCCTGCCCTCAAAAATTCACATGAAGATGCCAATTATTCAAGCTGCTAGAAGCCTTTCACATAAAGGAAATACATACACCAGCCATTACTTTAACAGGTTTATAAATGCTTTTTTCCCCATTATGTATTTTTAGGTGGGAGATCCCTATATTTTGCACAGTGGTCAACCTGCTTTAAACCTTCTAGTACTTTACAAAACAACAATTATTCAAGAGAAATTGGTGGGTTAAACATCTGGGCTGGTGGAGTTTAGTAGGTGAGGCCACTTGTGGCTAATCTTAATGACCAGAGATTAATCCCTGTGACCCACATGATGGAAGGAGAGAACTGACTCCTTCACATCCTCTGAGCTTCAACCCTGAGGCATTTATTTCTGTGTAAAAGTTCATCTACAAGAGACTCCTGTGAGCCTGAGGCTCGGAAGGTATGGGAAGACAACTCTGCTGAGTTAGGCTATGGCATCGCACTTGTCAAAGTCCCGAAGCGGCTTTGTCACAGGGCAAATTTCTAATCTTGATGAACTTGGGCTTTTAAAACAAATGTCTTGTCTTGCACATACGTTTCAGAAGGGCACAAGCCCTCCAAGGGTAAGCTAACACTGGTATTGGCTGGAGGCCACAGGTGGTACTGAATCAACACCTCTGCCGGTATTTCAGTCCTGTACCCCAAGGGCTCTATGGTAATGCAGAAGAGCACGAGGTTTGCTATACATGTCCAAGTCAACCATGCAAAGAAGAACCATCTCTACACAGGCTTGATTAGAGACACTGCTTCTGGGGTTGGGGACCTATCAGCCGTAAACTCTGACCTAGCACGGGCAAGGCCTGAGTCCCCAGCAGCCCCAGCCAAACCACGCAAGAGGACAGCGTCTCTGCAACGCTGCTCTCCCCTCCCCTTCCCCAGTGGTGGCACCAAACCCAAGGCCTCATTTTGCTCCCCACTCTGTCCCAGCTCAAGATGCTCTTCCACGGCTTTCAGTGACAAGTGGTACCTGTGGTCTCCTGGGCTTTCCATACCACACAGTTACTGAAGTCTGTATACTTGGGGGCACACTCACCCTTGGAGGCACCTGAGATGGCATGAGACAGGCAACAGCACTGGGTGAAGTATTCTTGGAAGAGTTCAGACTGCAGTACATCCAAGCCCTGTGCAGGACTAAATGAAATATGTGAAGCGGCTCCTCAAACTTTCAGTTGACTTTAAAAGTTCTGAAAACTGATGACTCAAAACAACAAGAAACCACAAGAAATCTCTGCTCAGGAGCCTGGGGGAAGCACACGATGGTAAAAATGCTAAAAAAAAAAAAAAAAAAAAGTCAGCAAAACTGAACTGGGAGCAAGCACATCCGTATAGCCCACTGATGCTCGCTGGGAGCCTGGGGCAGGGAGGAGCTGCATTACTGAACCTCATCTTCAGATCATGAGGCCTAACGTGTGTGAGGGCAGGAGCGAGGCCTGCAGGGTTAATGCAGTTCTTAAGGATGGGTTGGTTCCCCAGACTGGTTAGAGAGCTGTATCCCCATCCCCACTGGTCATGCCCCTTTCCACTTCTCCAGAATACTATGATGCCATCAAGTGGCAGACCTGTGCCATGACTTTCCAGCCACGAAAGTCATGAACCAAATAAGCCCTTTTCTTTACGTCCTATCTAGTATTAAGCATTCTGCTATGGAAACATAAAAACTGACTAAGATGCCCTCATTCCCCTCAGGCAACAGTTTCTCTGCTTTCTAACCCATGGGAAGAGGGGAATGATGTCTTGTTCTGCTAGATGTAAACTGCATTTGTTACCTTTCCAAAAGCTTCACTGCTTATTTTTATTTTATAAAAAGTTCCCCAAAGAAGACAAATTTTTTCTGGACTTATTTTGTAGACCAGGCTGGACTTGAACTCAGAGATCCGCCTGCTTCTGCCTCCCAAGTGCTGGGATTAAAGGTGTGCGACACCTCTACCTGGTGCAAGCTGCATTTTAAATAGCTAATACTGTATAATATTGTGTTCAACATGCAAACATGTCAAATAATGAGTTCACTGAGAATGCATCAGTCACTCAGTATTTCAAGGCTTCCAGACCATCATTGATTTTCAATTATTTGGGTTACTGGTTCAAGTCCTTGGGTGAGCTGAGCCAAGCAGAAGATTTTCCATTCAAAGCAACAGAACATGGGACTATGACCCCCAAATGTGCTGATGCTCCTTCAGAGAAGACGGATACCACACAGTCAGAGTTTATGGTGAATGGCAGACTCTGAGGTTGAAAGGTCAAAGCTCATCTTGGTCACTTCTCTCACGTGAAGAAACCCATCGGCTGAGAATCACCTCCTGCAACCGAGCAAAAGAGGGCTGGACTTCAGAAAAAGACATGGCAGTCCCAAGCATATAACACCATGACCCTCATACGGGACCCTGTCCACTGTCACCACTGAACTAGTGCCCCAGCACATGGCAGCAGCCAAGGCCAGTCCCTGACCCTAGTCTGGGAGCACTAGCACTTGCTGGTCAGCCATGGAAGTGAGAAGCGAACTTTGGTTGACATTTTATGAAGATCAGAACAAATGGAGGGAGGTGGCACTGGAGCCCTGGAGGCTGACAGGGGCTCTGACTGGGACCCAGGAGGCTACAACCGAGAGAGAGAAGGAAAACAAGGCGCGAGCACAGCTGTGTGCAGGGAGCACAGGACAGGGAGCACCGAAGCACAGGTGCTGTTGACGGCTTTGGGGCAGTGGTAAAGGGGAAGGGTTAGAAATGGCAGCAGACCCGGGACTCAAGATGAACCTGGCAGCCTTGGCAGAGGAAAACCAGCCAGCACTAGAGGGGGCCTGCTTCAGTGCAGGAGCAGAAGGTGAGGTGTGTGGGTGTGCAAGAGGTGTGTGGGTGTGTGAGGCTCAGTGGCAGAACAGGCACTCAGCGTGAGCGAGGCCTTGTGTTTTCACCCTCAGCACTGAAGAAGTCACATGAGAAGTTCGAGGAGGGAGAGACAGCTAGTCTCTGGAGTGAGACCTGCGGGAGACCTGGCCTGGCTACAGCTGGAGATGAGGAAGCCACAGGTAGACTGGCTGGAGCTATGGGATGGTGGAGTCTAACGGGTTCAGTGGGACGGAGAGAGAGGCTTCCAGGGCCAGCAGAAGCTTTCCGTCCCTGGGAAAAGACCCTTCCTGGTAGGCTTCCAGAGGACGCACTGGGAGCAGACTCTTGGGAGGCCGTGGCTCCATCTCCGCACGCACACACCTGAACTTGAATCCTCTTCATGCATTCTGGGGTCTCCATGTCTTCGCTAGTCATGGTAGAGGGTTTAATCAGGTAGCACAGCATCAGCTCCTGCAGAGAAACAAAGAAACCTCAATGTGCCAGCGCGTGAGGAGAGGAGCAGGCACCCCTGCCCGTCCCTGTACACCAATACACTGTGATGTGCACTCACCGGGCACACCGCCTTCTGCCTGGATCTGGCTCTTCTCTAAAGACCTGGCTTTTACAATCATCGAGAGGATGTGAACATGTGTTGAAGTAGACAAGCTGATTACACACACTCCGTATGCTATCAGATGGGGGAGACAGGTTGGCTCAGACTCATGATTCCCCTGTCTCCACTTTCCACGTGCACCATGCTCAGCTATACAAATAACTTTACATTTTTTATTATTTTGTTTTTAATTATGTATATATCTTCATGCCTGTGTGTAGGTATGTGCATGTGAGCGCAGGTGCCTGTGGAGGCTGGAAGAGGACACTGGATCTCCTGGAGCTGGAGTTATAGGCAGCTGTGAGCTGCCGGATGGGAGTGCTCTGGTCCTCTGGAATGAAGAGCAGTGTGAGCTCTGAGCCACTGGGCTCCAGTGACTTCCAAAAGCGAGAACAAAACAAAACAATCCTTTTTTGTCTGTTTGTTTATGTGTATGAGTGTGCCGTTGTGTACGTATATGCCATGTGAGTGCAGGTGCCAACAGAGGCCAGAAGGTGTCAGATCCTCTGGGGCTGGAGTTACAGGTGGTTGTGAGTTGTCTGATGTGGGTGCTGGGCTGAACTCAGGTCCTCTGCAAGAGCAGCAAGTGCTCTTAATCACGGAACCATCTCTCCGTTCCCCCCACATTCCCACCTTTAAAAAAAAAAATTCTACAATGTTTAGGAGAAAAACAAAGGAACCACATAAGTGACAGGCAAGGCTAAAGCTGTGCCACCTTAGAGACGTTCCCTGAGACTCTGCTCAAGGCGGCCAATGACTTCCAGCTGAAAGGTCTGCGGAGGGAGCCCTCAAAGTTGTCGTCCACGAGCTCAACGATGACAGAATAGCTGGAAGACAAGAGAGGCATCCTGAAGAGCCACAAAATCAACTTGTTCAGAGAGCAGTGTGTCTTACTAAAAACTACGAAGGGTTTCACAGCACCTGCTGCTAAAAGCCTAGACCCCTAAAGAGAATTACTAGTGACCAACAGCCTGAAGTCTATAGGAACATGCCTTTTTTTTGAGACAGGGTCTCACTATGTAGCCCTGGCTAGCCTGGAACATGCTATGTAGACCAGGTTGGCCTCAAACTTATAGAGCTCTACCTGCCTCCTCCTCAGAGTGCTGGGGTTAAAGACATGTGCTACCACACTTGGCCAGGAATATGACTTTTTAAAGAGATATATTTTATTTTTATAAGGATTATATTTGGGCTGGAGAGATTGCTCAGTGGTTAAGAGCACTGGCTGCTCTTCCAGAGGACCCAGGTTCAATTCCCAGCATCTGAATGGCAGCTCACGACTGTCTGTAATTCCAGTTCCAGGGGATCTGACATCCTTATGCAGACAAAACACCAATGTACATAAAATAAAAATAAACTATTAAAAAAGTAAGTATAGGTATTTGCCTGCATGTGTTGTACACCATGTTCATGCCTGGTGTCTGTGGATGCCAGAAGAAGATAATGGACCCTCTGGTTGTGAGCCACCATGGGGGTGCTGGGAACCGAACCTGGATCCTCCGGAAAAGCAGCCAGTGCTCTTAACCACTGAGTCTTTTTTTTTTAGACAGGGTTTCACCATGTAGCTCTGGCTGGCTCTCCTGGAACTTGCTTTGTAGACCAGGCTGGCCTTGAACTCAGAGATTCTCCTGCCTCTTCTTCCCAAGTGCTGGGATTACAGACATGCACCACTATCATCACCCGGTTAGGAATATGACTTTTAATTGTTTCTGAGACACTGAAAATTAAACTTGAAGCCAGAAATATCCTATGTTTTTTCAATTAATTTATTTTAAAAAGTCCAAACCTTGCGTGGTAAAATGGGGGGCCTTTCCGATACAGCACTGCAAAGAAGAGAAAGCGACGTTACCCCATCTCAGCCAGGCCAGGGCAAAGCAAACACCCAGCTCTCTGCACGAGGGCACTCTGCGCTCTGCCCTGCAGCCTGGCTTCAGATCCGAACTCCTTCTCCCGGAAACAAGGAAGTTCGTCAGATCTGCTGCCCAAACCTCGACACCCTCATCCACCCCACAAGCAACTCCCAGAGTTAAATGCAAGCCATTCTTTTTGGCTTTCTTCTGGTGCTGGGGACTGACTCCAGTGATCCACTCTGGCCAGCCCATACCCCTAGCCACAAGTGGGTCTTGCTTTTCTCCATGTGTGTGACATGGTAGAAAGAACATGAAGTCCATAAAATGGACAGCATTTGTGATTCGTTCCAAATCACCCAAACTCAGAGTGAGGGTGGGCCCCACTGCTGGGTGCCGAGGCAGGTGTTGTACTGGAGATGAGCAACCTCCAGGATATTTTCAGGGAAGTCAAGGGTCACTTCTCAGCCTTTTGGCTACACAGGTGTAGAAATCCAGGTCCTGGGGAGATGACGCAGTGGTAAGAACACAAGCTGTTTGAGTTTGAGGATCTGAGTTTCAATTCTCAGCACCACATAAAAGGTGGGTTATGGTTGCACATGCCTCGAACCCCAGCAGCAGGGGTGGAGAGGGCAGGGGTGTGGTGTGGTGGGGGGTGAGTTGGGGGGTAGGTGGATCCCAAGGGCTTGCTGGCCAGCCCAGCCAAAACAGTGAGCTTCTGTTCTGGGTCACTGAGAAACCCTGTCTCAAGGCAATAAGGCAAAGAATGACAGAAGAAGCCACCTGACATCCTCTTCTGACCTCCTGATGCACGCTCACCTGCAGTCACACGCATGCATCACACACACATTCACATGTATGGGCTGGGAAGATGTCTCAGTAGGTAAAAATGCTTGGTATGAACGCCCATACATTGTGTCCACACCATGGCACATGTGCCCATGCAAACCTGAGTTCATGCACACACTTATAAATAAAAACTAAAATAAACGAATAAATAGGAAAGAAATTCAGTCAAGAGGCTATAAAAGATCCACAACCACACCCTCCACCCAGTTACCAGTCTTCCTTTCTCATGGGGCTCTGACACATGAAGGGGTGAAGCCAATCTGCAGAGATCAAGAAGAGCCTCTCACTGAAGGAGCCTGGGCCTAAGGACTGTAGACCTTAGGGACCCTTTAGAGGCAGGTACTGGCTAGCTGTCCACCATGTCCATCACTTCCTCCAGGCTCTCAGTCCCTGAACATCCAGGCCTGGCCCTGTGCTGTGTCATGTGTCTCGAGCACTTAGATCCTGAGAGCCCGTGCTGATGATGGAGCAACCGGAAGCCTGGGGCCCTGAGCACCTGTCAGAGTCCACCTGGAGCCAAGCAGAGATGCTCACTGGCTTTCAGGTAAAGTACGAGTGAACGCTATAATGAGCCCCCGGGGCCTGACATTTACAAATGAACAATGAACTCTGAAGTAACCTACAGCTACGCCACTGCCGCTGCCACGTGCTCATCCTGTGACACTGGCTGCCCCCTTGCTCCCCACTAGAGGAAAGTTCAAGGGAAGCTTGTTTCCCTTGAACAATGGACACACTTTCCTTTTTGAAGACAGTGATTCTGGAGCCATTTCAGGACCCCGAGGACACAGCAGAACCCCTTCATCTAGCCTGCCATTTCTAAGTCTATTTTCTGTGGTCACGTTGCCATCAGAGTACTCATTTCTTATATACTGTGTTTCAGTATTCCTCAACTCAGTTCCCACCAAGTAAACATCCAAATACATTCAGACATCTCTCTACTTTTTCGGGTACAGCAATGGGGTGAAGGTGGACCCAGAACCATAGCTTCCCGCCCAATCTCTGCCACCCCAGGTTGTGAGACTTTAGGCCAGTTACTAGCCTCTCTGCACTGGTTTCCAACACTCTAAAATGAAGGCATGCTGGGCACAGTGACACACACGTGTAATCCCAGCTAGGCAGGAAGCTGAGCCAGGAGGGTTGTTCAACTGTGAGAGCAGCCTGGGCAATGTAGTGAAACTCCATTTCAAGACGCAAAACAAAAAATGAAGCACCCAAGGGTGATGCTTCAAGAAATGAAGGTCTTCTCTACCCCCTGAATCCATGTGTGGAACTGTGGGAGCCCGTTCTCGGGTTCCTCGTGGCTTTACCCAGCAGGTCCGCATAGAGGATGATTAGGACCATGGGCCTGAGTGCAGGTGTCTGAGATGGTCTGCACTTGGCTGTGCTGGGGGAGGAGGTCTTTTGCTCCACCCCCTGGCGTCTCTATAAAAACCCTGGGGCAGAGACAGTCGGGCCCGTTGGAATAGGTTCCAGGCCCTCTCGAGGCTATCCTTTATTTTCTGTTTATCTCCGCGATATTCTCCGCAATAAATCCTTCTATCTAATATTTCCTGCTGCTCGCACTCAAGAAAACTCTGGGGAACTGTGGGGGTGGTGGGTAAACGCCCCACATGGAACCAAATGTGCATCTTCACCCCACATTCTGGGAGGCTCAATGCTTTGAGTAAATCATGAGTCACGTGGACACATCCTCGGCCAGTCCTTTTCAGAAGTGCTCTACAAAGATGGTGATATGACAGAGCGCAGGCAAATTCAGAAACCAGCTGAGGTCACACAGGCAGCAAGAGGTAGAGCCGGCCGTGAACCCAAGAGCTCTCTGTTACCCATGCTGCCTTTCAACATACTGGACAACCTTGCTTCAGTTCATATTTCGATCTTAGGATGGGAATGGCGGAGACCTGCTAGGTAGGTGGAGTGGCTGTGACCACGGGAGGGAGAATGAAGAAGTCAAAAAGAAACAAAACAAGACCATCCCCTGCTCAAAGACGATCTGGGACCAGTACAGCTATCTTGAAATATCTCCAGCAACTTGACCCAGTCCACACCATCAGCCACATGCATATCCGTCTAGGATGGAAGAACAAAGGAAGCTTCCCCAAGAGGGATGGGCACATAGCAACCTACCAACTACTGTTCAGAAAGCAATCTCTGGGTTGCTGGTACCCCCATGAAGACTATCCCACAATTCTAGGCAACTCTCTGGGGAGTTCAGCTGTGCCCCTTGCAAAAGGGGTCATCCTAGCCATGCTTGTTGACTGTTTTTACCCACCACAGAGGGTGGGGAGGATCATGAGACCTCACCTGAGTATCCAGCACTCCCTACCACCTGTGGTATGCAACTGAGCCTTAATTACATGTGACCTAGGGGAGGGGCTAGAGTATATAGGCCTGGGAAGGCTAGGGTACAGGGTGGGGTGGGGTCTACAGGGTAAGCCCTCATCCCTTCGGGGGTAAAGACTTTCTAGGTGTGGCCTGTTGCGGGGAAGGAGCACCCACAGCACTGTAAGTAGCCCCAATAAACTGACTAGCTCCCCAGAGTAAACTTTGGCAGAATTGTCCCTCAGTTCCTCACTGGGACATTAGAAGGGGTAGATACTGCTTATGTCTCTCTCTGGGATAGAATTCTTGTAACACCAGGTTAAACGCAGCCTATTTTAGAGCATTACAATTTTGATTTTTTTTTTGTTTGTTTGTTTTTTGAGACAGGGTTTCTCTGTGTAGCTTTGGTGCCTGTCCTGGCTCTCGCTGTGTAGACCAGGCTGGCCTTGAACTCACAGAGTTCCACCTACCTCTGCCTCCTGAGTGCTGGGATTAAAGGTGTGCACCACCACTGCCTGGCTTTAATTTTTTATTATATGGGTGTTTTGCCTGCCTTCGTTTTTTGTACACCACATGTGTGTTTGGTGTCCAACAGAGACTAGAAGAAGTAAGAGTCTCTAGAACTGGAGTCACAGATGGTTGTTACCCACCATGTGGACGTTAGGAATCAAACCCAGGTCCTCTGGAAGAGCAGCCAGTGCCCTGAACTGCTGAGTCACCTCTCCAGCCCCAGCATTAAGAATTTCAAAGACGGTAGGCCCAGCTTCCCCAACCAGCTTCTCCTCCATTTTGGTCCTTTTTAGTCATTAGTAAGACAGCACTCAGAGGGTTCCACTAAAATCAGGTCACGTCAAAGACTTTTCATCCCCCGAATCCCAGCTCTGGTCCCAGCCTAACTCCCTTGGGAGCCATGTTCTCCACACCCTGTGCAGTTCCTGAGACCTGCTAATCATCTCCTGCCTTGGCCTCTGTGCTTGCTGTCTGCTCTGCCCAGCAAGCCCTTCCCAGACACACAACTCCCATGGGGTCACTGGGAGGCAGTGACATGTACAAGTGCCTGTGAGCCTGCACACTAGAATCCAAAGCTCCAAAGTGACTGGTCCTGGAAACCACTCGTCAGGGTCCTGGAGGAAGCAGCCCACGTGGCACACAGAAGAGCAAAGGGCTGCCATGAGGAGTAAGCGTCACAGGGGTGTCCAGCACCAAGCCTGACAGTGTATACTCAGTAAATGACAGCTGGGCTATCACCACAGCTCAGGATGCTCTCATCTGGAGGATGAACGGGTGAAGCTGCGAGAACACAGGCCTGACCAAAATCACACAAGCTCACGGCTGAGCTGCAGCACGTGCCACACAACTCTCGTCTATGATCAGGAAAGCCTGCGTCTGCCTGGAGGCTTCCCCAACACACTTCTTACTCCCGGGATCGAACCCATCCCATCCAAATACCCAGCATTTGTATCCAAATCATCACCATCACAGATAGCTAACCCAACCTCCCAGGCAGAATGGGCTGACTCTGTCCTCGAATCTGCCACCCACACCAAGAGCTACTCACACAGATCTGTTCCATACTTGAGCCCCACTTTGGGTACCCAGCCTTTGCTTCGGAAGTAGTGGTAGGCCATGTAGGTGGTCCTGAAGGTGGGCTGGACTGCAGTGAAGGCTTGCCAGAGCTTCACTATTGTTAAAGGCTCCTACAGTTGTTTTAAAAGAAGACATGAGTTTGCATGTATTCACTCCCACTCAGTGAGGGAGCAGACATCCGGAGGAGCATGGCACTACAGCAGCAATGGACAAACGAGGGGCTTCATTCAGGAGACCAGACCCACACTGCCTATGTGACAGGACCACCGTGTGTGGCTCCTCACAACACAGGTGCTACTGTGGGTCGATGATGATCACTGTGATCATCAAAAACAAAAAACAAAACAAAACAACCCCCCAAGCAACCCTGGTAATTTGGGTCATGTGAACTTAATCACACTCTTTCCCTTGCAGTACTGGGTGTGCAAAACAGGGCCTTGTACACGCTGAGGCAAGTGCCCACCACTGAGCTGCAGCCCAGCCCTCCCCATGTGTGCGGTTAAAAAGCTATGCACATATCATTAAAATTGTTTCTGTGGGTGGAGGCATTGCCTTTTTGAGACAGAGTCTCACAATTGTAGCCCAGGTTGGCCTTGAACTTGCAGTCTTCACACATCTGCTTCCTAGTGCCACCAGAAAAGTCTCCAATGACCTATGTGGCTCCCACCCGAGCTCTCATTCATCTCTTCTGAAGCAGGACTTTAGAGAACCCAGAAAAGCAAACCCTGAGGCCGGGGTGCAGCTTAGTGATGGAGCATAGGCTCAGCATACATAGGCTCCAGGATCCATCCTTGGGAGAGGGAGAGGAAAGGCTAACATTTAGGAATGAGAAACAGCAAAGGACAAGGGGTCAGAGACCATGTAAAAAGGTGGGAGGGTGAGGATCCGGGTAATGACATTCTAGGCAAAGGAACCAGTATGTGGTGTTGGACCCAAGTATAACAAGTCCACCAAAGCTTGGTGAAACCCACCGGGGCTTGTTGAAACCCACCAGAGCTTGTTGAAACCCACCACCCTTTAGTGAGCAGCTACTGCAATGTCAGGCCAGGCTCAGGAAAGTGAAAAATAATTTTGTAAGTGAAAATTTCATTAAAGACCCAAAGATGGCCGGGCGGTGGTGGCGCACGCCTTTAATCCCAGCACTCGGGAGGCAGAGCCAGGTGGATCTCTGTGAGTTCGAGGCCAGCCTGGGCTACCAAGTGAGTTCCAGGAAAGGCGCAAAGCTATACAGAGAAACCCTGTCTCGAAAAACCAAAAAAAAAAAAAAAAAGACCCAAAGATGATCCCTGGCTCCATCTTAGCTTTCAGATAGGAGAGTGGCCACCTGAGAGTGCAGTGCGATAACCCAGCTGCGTCCAGAGAGGGGCCTTGAACAGAACGAGAATGTTTTTCTAGGTTGCAGCAGAAAACAGTCAGAAGTAACTGGGTGGGTTTGGAAAGTGTCTTTCCTCGTTCCATTGCTTTGGGAAAGAATCAACCCTTCAGCTGGCTGGGGCTCAGTCGCTCTATAAGACATGCTCAGTTCAGCTCAGCCTAAGCTTTAATTCCACAAGTAGAGCTGGGCCACAGCTCACGGGTAGAGCACGTGCTTAGTGTCAACAAGGCCCTGGGCTCCGTCCCCAGATAACAAGTGGCTCTCATAAACACCTAGGGTGGCCTTGGCTGAGTTACTTATTTTCTCTGAGCCTCAGTGAGCTTGTTAAGGCAGCTCCAACTAAGAGGCAAAAAGGATTGGAAACAGCACAGCCAAGCTGGGCGCCATGGCTCACACATGGAATTCTAGCACTTGGTGTGTTCTGGCCCTGCCTAGGCTATGAATGAAGATCTTGATTCAAAAACAAAAATAAAGGACTGGAGAGATGGCTCAGTGGTTAAGCAAGAGAACCAGTCCATTCCCAGCACCCACATGGCAGCTCCATAACTGTCTGTGCTCTAGTTCCAGGAGATCCAATGCCCTCTCTGGTCTCTGTGCACACCAAGCATGAACGGGCTGCACAAACACGCAGGCAAAATGCCTATATACATAAAGTCAAACAACCAACCCAGGGAATTTAAAGGGTCTGCACAGCATGTGTAGGAACTATGTAGCGGTGACTTTGATTATTTTTGCAGCGCTAGGCATGGATCAAAGCCTCAGATATGTCAAGCAGACACTGCTCCTGAGCTGCACCCAGCCTGCAGCTCTGCTTCCTGTTGGTGATTTTAGAACCACCCGGAGACAGTATTCTTGTATAACAAGCTGTACTTCTGCAGGTTCTGAGAAAAACACAGCCTAAAAGGTCACCCTGGTTTGTGCCTGAACTGCTTTAGTTGAGGCTCCAAACCCAAAACTTACAGAAAAAAGGCAATTCCTATTTTTTTTTTCAGTCAAAGTCGACACATTTGCATTAAAGCTCCATGGGAAGGGGTTCAACCTACTGTCAACAGGGGAATGGTGAGATTATATGCATACAGAACTTACCTTCTCATAGTAAATACTTAAACATCCCAGGGCGTAGGCCAGGAAGAAAGCCTACAACAAAGCAGGGAAGTTCTCATTAGAAGCATGCTGCTCTCCTAGGGTGGGCATGGAAGCCACCGCCTCGCACGCCCTTGGTTCACCCCAGCATCACCCAACAGAAATAAAAATAGCTTTCTGACAAAGCCAACATGCTTCCAAATGCTAATGCAATCTCAACAGCCACGTGCTGTGGCCTCTGTCCCAGGCAGTCAGGACAGTCAACTATGATCCTCAGGTCTCAGGTGCCCAGGAGATGGGTTGGTGGGCAGTACTAAAAGATGGCTCGTTGACACTGGGTTACTTTGTGTTTTATTGACTGCAGTGCTGCAGACCCAGGCCCTCCTGCATGCTTGAACTACCCTACCACACCACACCCAACCTGACTTTTCTAACATCAAAGTATCCAAAAAGACAGGAGACATGCTACCCCAAATAATTACAAATGGTCCCTGCCTCCAAGTGCAGAGCAGAAGGGTTCTTGAGTACAAACAGGATTTGGCTTTTTTCTTCACTGTCCCCTCCTGTCCCAACCTGGTGTACAAGTGGCAACAAGGGGCCAGAAAGCTGAATGGTGCAGAAGTGTCCAGAGATGAGAGGGTGCAGGGCCTAGCACCTCAATAACCTCCTTAGAACCACCCAGAGCCACTGGACACTGGTGTTCTCCACAGCTGCAGCTCTCCAAGGCTGTCTGGAGTTCCTGGGTCTCAAACTCAAAACTATCTGCCTCATTTGTGCTCTTGCTGGTTGGGGAGGACACAGGTAGAGACAAAAAAGCCCAAGGCCTGCAGTGAGACCATGGCAGAGACCATCACAGCCAGACCTCACCGTGATCTGCAAAACAGGACTCAATATTTTTAGTTTGGAAAATGTTGGGGAATATTAGTTTTAAATGTGTTACATTCATTTATGCTGAGGAATATTTGTTTAATGATGCAAAGAAGTGTTGCATTCTTTTATGTTGCATTTGTTTAACTCTGTGAAGCTGTGTTACTGTGCCTACCTAAAACACTTGATTAGTCTAATAAAGAGCTGAACAGCCAATAGTGAGGCAGGAGAAAGGATAGGTGGGGCTGTCAGGCAGAGAGAATAAATAGAGGAAGAGACGAGAAGAGAAGGGGAGAAGGGAGAAAAGGAGAAGGAGAGGAGGACTCCATGGGCCAGCCACCCAGCCACCCATGGAGTAAGAAGTAAAGAAAGGAATAAAAAAGAGAAAGGTAAAAGCCCAGAGTCAAAAGATAGATGGGATAATTTAAGAAAAGTTGGCTAGAAACAAGCCAAGCTAAGACCAGACATTTATAAGTAATAAGTCTCTGGGTATTTACTTGGGATCTGGGTGGCGCGTCCCCAAAAAGCAAAGAGTTAAAAAAACAAACAAACAAACAAAAAAACAACTACAGGAAAAGTTATTTTTCATAAAAATACTATTTAGAGCAGATGTGGTAACTCAGTGCTGCTCCTGGAATATGGCCAGTCCTTCTCACTCTTGCTCTCTGCCATCTCGATGGTCCTTTCCACACAGACTCAAGCAACTCTTTTCCTGTCTCCTCCAGAGCACTTGCTTTTGTCTTTCATCCATGGGCCTCCCTGAGAAGACCAAATCAGGCAGAACAGAGTGATGCTGTCCCTCAGGCTACAGGACAGTCCAGCTCCCCTTGGGTGAGGGCTCAATGCCTGTGTTGAAAGAATGAAAGGGACCCCAACCCTTGTCTTAGCTTAGGCCCAGGCGGCTCGATCCCCTGGGGGTTCTGCACCTGCCTCAGCTTGCTTCTCCAGGGGCCTGCATGTCCCGAGGCTGGTCTAGTTTTCTCAGTGTTGCCCACAGCCCTACAACCTTGCCTGGCTGCACTCTTTTCATTACCTTTCCTACCACTAAATACTGAAGTTTTTGGATAGACCAGGGTGACCAGAAACACCATGGAAAAGATAAAGCTGTCTCTCCAGGTGGTAAGTTCCCTTCATTTTGCCAAATTTGCATTTCTTGGGTCAGAATGGTACAATAAAAAAAAAAAAAATCAGCCTCAAAGGATCAGAATGGAGATGGAATAAGGTCTAGCAGACTTATTTATGCTTTCACTGAGGTGGTTTAAATTGATTTTATTTTTAATTTTTATTTTATGTGTATGGGTGTTTTGCCTGCATGTATGTGTGTGCCAGGGACCCAAGGAGGCCAGAAGAGGGTGTCAGATTCCCCTGGAACTGGAGCCATCACGTGGGTGGGTAATGGGAACAGAACTTGGGTCCTCTTGAGGTTAAGAGCCAGTGCTCTTTTATCTCTCCCATCTCACCGAGGCGTTTTTGTTTGGAATCCAATCCTCACGAAGCTGACATCAGCAGCAAGCTCTCTCTTTTGGGTGCTGAGGTGGAGGTGAACCTGTGACAGTTTTTCCATCACACGGGTTATTCCAGTTAGGGCCCACAGCACTGGAAAACCAGATCTCAAAGGCAGACCGCTCTGAAGCTTTGCAGCAGCCTGGCTCAGTGATCACATGACTCCTTAAAGGAAGACCCAGACAGCGAGCATGCGTGAGAGAGAGAGAGCACATTATCAGCCAATCGGTGGTCTGCCATGGGCATGGTTCGAGAGCAGGACGGGGAAGAAGCCACTATCTGCGTTACAGCTGTCAGTGTCCAACAGAGGAAAAGGCAAAAGCCACTCACGTGACGCGGTCCCTGCGAATTCTTCTTAATTCATGACGCGTGTCAACAATTTAGAGAGAACTAGCTTTGGGTCGGGAATGAAGGCTGACTGGGCACCTGCCAGGAAAGACGTGCGCATGCGCCTTTGATATGCGTTATGTTAGTGTGATATCTGATCCTGAACATGAACTCAGAACTGTTACACTGAGTAAGAGGAAGGAAGTGTACCTGTAACACCCCCTCCCACTTTTTCCCTTAAGCTTTCCCTCTGCAAGCCACACGCTTCTACAAGCTACAATCAAACCAAATTTCACTGCTCATTTTAAATTTAGAGGAAAAAACAGACAAACAAAAGCACCTGCCATTTTGTGTCAGGACAACAGAGAGAATCAGAAATAAAACGGGCCATGTCCACCCAGGGATGTCGCATCCATGGTGAGAGATGAGCACGGAGTTGCGCGCCTTCCAGGAGAGGCACCTGACACACGCCATGTCTCATTTGATCGTCACTCTAACCGTCTGGGGGGAACAGCTGGGACGTCACCATCGGAAAACAGAGGGATGCCACCTCTCGTGTGCTATGTTGATGAGGCCAGTCTTTTCTCCTGTAGCATGAATCTTAACATGCCTTATTAATAAAACAAACCAGGAGCCAGGTATTGGGGTAAATTCTGAAAGATCAGAGAAACAGAACAAGCCACAGCTAACCTCACCTCGCCAATTCCTCAGCTGATCTCGTTTCCTCAAACTGAAAGCCTCTGAGTCTTCATCTGAATGGATCTCAGCTGAACTGCTCCTAAAGCCTAAAAGCTTAACAGAGGCTACTTCCTGGTTTTCACACCTTATATACTTTTCTGCTTCCTGCCATCACTTCCTGGAATTAAAGGTGTGTATCACCATGCCTGGCTGTTTCCAGTGTGGCTTTGAACTCACAGAGATCTGGATGGATCTCTGCCTCCAGAATGCTAGGATTAAAGGTATATGTGCCACCATTTTCTGGCCTCTATGTCTATCTAGCGGCTGTTCTGTTCTCTGACCCCAAATAAATTAATTAGGGTGCACAATATATTGGGGAACACAATATTACCACATTCTCCTACTTATCTTTTCTGTTTTTTGATACAGGGTTTCACTGTGTATCCCTGTCTGACCTGGAACTTGATATGTACATCAAGCTGACCTGGAATTCACCTTGCTTCTGCCTCCCAGTGCTGGGCTTAAAGGTGTGGGCTACCATGCTCAGACCCATTTATCTTTGTCTCTTACTTCACCTCTATCTTTAATGTGGAGGGGAGTAAACCCAGGCATGTAAGCAAATGCTGGGCCATGGAGTTATGATTTCGACCACTGTTATCTTATCTATTGCCATTTCTCATTGGCAGCTCACAACAAATGCTTCAGAGTTCAGGCTGTAGAGTCCGATGGCTCAGGTCCAAGTACTGATCTTGAGCAAGAAATTTAACCAGCCTGAGGTTCAGTTTCTTCCCCAGAGATATCACAACAGGATCTAGGGTGATGAGGACTTGAGATAATACACAAATCAGTCAGAAACACTAAGACCATGCACACGGAACTGAAGACCAGCACACACACTATTCCATTGTTCTCATTGTGTGTGACTTCCTCTTGAGCCCTGGAGCTGAGCCCACATAATTATGGGCCAATGAGAGACACCACTGTGGATGTTCTCTGGAGCAGGTGATGCAGGTGAAGCAGGAGCTGCTCCAGGAGCTCCCTTCCTCCGCCCCAACTGCAGATCCCCAGAAGAACAGGGAGGAAGAGGTTTTTTCCTGCTCACTTCTCCAGCACCTACCCTATCCTGCCCTGCCCGACACACAGGAGGTCCTCCGGACATGCTGGCTGAACAAAAGACCACATTAGGAGGGACACACCCCTACTGCGCATCATTCCTCCAAGGTCCCACCAGCCTCCTTTCCCCCAACAGTCTGCCATAGGGCTTACATGGAGGCTTTCACCAACTAAGGATAGTTACTGTGTGCAAAGGATAGAGAAATCATGGTGCACATGAACAATGGGATTTCATTCGACCAGAAAGAAAAATGAAATTATACGTTTGCAGGAAAATGGAGATCATTATGGGAAGCAAAATAAGCCAGGCTCAGAAGGCCAAATTCTGCAGGTTTTTCCCCCTCAAATGCAGAATCTGTATTTGAATTTATGTGTGTTGGTCATAAAAATAGAAAGGATACTGTGAGTGGAGGATGAGAGCTTCAGGGAGGGGGTGGGGAGAAAAGAAGGAAATGGGATCCAGATGGGAGCAGGGGGTGTGTTTATCTGAGGGCAACAAGGGCAGTAAGACGGAAACAAGGGGTGGGGTCGTGCAGTGAAGGGCTCAATGAGATGAGAATAGAAATAAAATATATTGACACACATGTATGAACATATAATGAGTCACACTTTGTATGCTAACTTAAATTTTTAAGTAAAAAAAACCCAAATCTATGTGAAACGGGTTACAATGTCGAAGTGAAACAATTACAGCAATCGTTTAAGTTAGATTTAACTTGCATCCGTGTGTGGTGTTTGCTAGTTACTTTCTGAAGCTTCAGTTTGCACCTTTTTCTTCAGTACTGTGGCCTCTAGGGAAGGAGCCAGGGCCCTGGAGCCCTAGCGAATCTCTCCATCACTGATTTATAGCTCTAGCCCTGGCATGCAATCTGTAAGTCAGTTTCTTACATGACTTTACTCATTGGGCAAAGCTAAATACTTAGGTGAAAATATTTAGCTTTGGGCTTTTTGTTTGTTTGTATTACCTGTGAGACGGGTCTCATGTAGCCCAGGCTGGCTGTAAACTTTCAACTCCTGACTTTTTGTCTCCACTTCCCAAGCACTGAGGTTACAGGCATGTGCCTCCACCCTGGCACCGCTTCTTTAAGGGCCCTGAACTGTGTTTAGCATACACTAGGAGGCAGGATTACCGTCTTTCCTCATGGTTAATGAGCTGTCCAAACACTGCAGACCCACTGTCTTTTCCTCACTGATAGGAAATGAGATTTTTACTGAACACTGAAATCCCATCTACAGACGGTCTGTTTCAGTCTCTTTGGGCCAATCTCTTATTCTTACACTTTTAACTATTCTAACCTTATTATGTCTTTTACTATCAGTTACAATGACATTTGTCCTTTAAATTCTTTTGTTCTTGGACTGGGGTAGCTCAGTGGCAGAACTCTTGCCCAGCATAGACAAAGCCCTGGCTTGGCCCCCTGCAGAAGCAGGAGCAGCACTTTCCATGATCCCAGAAGTTTAAGAACCAACACAGGGAAGAGCAATGTCATGCTCCTCTCTTCCCGCTGGTACACGAACATGGTCTGAACAAAGCGGACCCTCAGAGCCCAGGGGAAGTTCTTACATGAGTACACACTGAAGCTGGCGTTAAATATGGGGATGGAGGAAAATCCGAGCTCTTTAAAAAGTCATTCAAAAGGTTGTGGTGGAAGTATTTTTACAGTTAGGATCAATGTTTTAATAGTAATAAAAGTGATCACAAATTTCTGTGGTAGAATTGTAGCTACTCAAATCGATGGAGTGTGATGCTTGGAATCACAACTACTGATACCAAGGCGGGGGAAAGGTAATAGAGAACAGAGAGGCTGGGCTTATTTCATTTTGCCTCAGCCTCTCCCATCCAAGACACTAAAAATGTTCTTTTATCCAGCACAGAGGTCACACATGCCGATTTGGTACAAGAAAAGTAGCTTGGATTGGATAATGGAAACTTGAACTTTTAATTAATTTAAATTTTAATTAGTTTAAATTAAAACAGTCACATGAGGCCAGTGGCTACTGAATTTCAGGGCAGACTATCATCCTCAGGTGAAAAAATAAAAGATAAGGTGATACCCCAATACCCCTTCCCACTCAGCTTTGTATCACTGGCCTTCCTGCAAGGAAGGAGAAGCAGGGACCAGGGAACGGAGGGTTACGGACAGCCCTGAAATGACCACTTCGGAAGAAATCTCCAGAGACCTACCTGTCTGTCAAGAGCTGTGGTGCTGCAGAGCTACCTGAAAAGCCCAGGAAGGGCCCACTGCCTCCCCCAGCAGAAAGACAGTCTGCGTGCAGAGCAGATGGGAGCAAGGAGGGAGGGCTCAACCGAGTGGGACCACGAGCTAGAGGGACACATCAGAGGGGCAGCATGATGTCGTTTTGAGAAGGACACTTCTGAATGCGGCTAATTCAGTGAGGGGGGCACACTAAGTGATTCTGCAGAAGGAAATGCCTGGAATCAACTCACTCGGCCGTCAGGACGTGATCAGACTCACAGGGCGTACTAAAACAGGAGGTTCTGCAGTTTAAAAACTTTAGTTCTCTCCCCCTCTGACTATGCTGTCCAAGCTGGCTTTGAATTTCTGGGCTCACATGATCACCCTTCTTCAGCCTCCCAAGTAACTGGGACCACAGCCACATGTGGCCACACCAGGTGGAGTGTGTATTTCTCTCTGTCTCTCTGTCTCTCTGTCTCTCTCTCCAGGACTGGGGATTGACCCAGATCTCTGTCAAAGACCTTCAGCACCAGCCTGAGTTACACACTTCAAATAAATGAACTGGTATGCTAATTACATCTTAATAAAGATGAATTTTTAAAAAGCTGATGAAAATTAGCTGGGCATGGTGATGCACACCTTTAATCCCAGCACTCAGGAGGCTGTTAGGGGGATCTGCGTGTTTGAGGCCAGCTGTCTATATAATGAGTTCTTGGGCAGCTAGAGCTATACCATGATACCCTCCCTCAAAGAAAGAACAGAAAAACCCCACAATATTCTGAATCCTTGATGAGAGAAGGACTTAAGCTGGACGTGGTGATGCACACCCAAATCCTAGCACACCTGAGGCAGGAGAGCTGTGAATTCAGGCTAGCCTGGGCTATGGAGCAAGAACATATCTTAAAAAAAAAGAAAAAAAAGAAAGAGGAGGGGGAAAAGGGAGTGGGGGGGCTCATACAGACCCTTTAAATGCTCAAAGCTCCTATTCTTTCCTTGCTGAGGATTTGAACCCAGGGCTTTCAAGAAAGAGGAGGGGGAAAAGGGAGTGGGGGGGCTCATACAGACCCTTTAAATGTTCAAAGCTCCTATTCTTTCCTTGCTGAGGATTTGAACCCGGGGCTTTCACACACCATTTTAGTTCACTGAGCCCAGCTCCAACACACTCTCAGAACTGATGAAATAGGATCAGCATCCCGGCAGGAATTTCAATATTTAGCCTCTATACAGAACTGCTCTCCGAGGAGGGTTCAGGTGCACGGCACACAGGGCTAGACTAACCCAGGCCTGAGACAGCAAGGTGCATACATACCTCTTCTAGGCTGAGCTGCAGATACTCAAAGATCCTGTATGGATTTCTTCTGCACACTAGTCTCTTTCTTTGCAGCAACTACAAAGAAAGGAAGAGAATCAACCACCCGGGACACTGGTGAGCACCACCTGTCATGAAGACTGAATCCCCAAATGAACATTTTTTGATAAATTCAATGCTACAAGCTGTTGAGTAAAATAACCTTCATGGAAAAGGAATGTGGTGATATATTGTATACCCTAATAAAATTTGCCTGAAGATCAGAGAACAGAACAAGTCACTAGATTAAATATAGATGCTAGACAGTGGTGGCACACACCTTTAATCCTAGCACTCGGGAGGCAGAGATCTGTCTGGATCTCTGAGTTCAAAGCCACCCTGGACTACATGAGATTGACTTAGTCTAGACAGAGGCAGACAGTGGTGGCACACACCTTTAATCCCAGTACTTGGGAGTCACACGCCTTTAATCCCAGCACTAGGAAGGAAGTAATATGGCTGTGTGGTGAAAGGTATATAAGGCATGAGGAGACTGGAACAAAGCCCCTTTTCTGCTGAAGCCTTTCAGCAGAAGCCCCTTTTCGGCTGGAGCTTTTTCAGGATGAGGAGTCCTAGAGATAAGACATGGCAGTGGATTGTTCCTTTGTCTCTCTGATCTTTCAGCATTTACCCCAATATCTGGCACCGAGTTTTTTATTATAAGACCACTTAGCAATTCGTGTTACAAAGGATGGCCTGATTTCCTCTGCTAACACTATCCTGTGGACTGTCCCTGCAGATGTGATAGCTCCATTGTCGAATGCAGTGTCTTCCACTCACAAGCTGTGATCTGTTCTTAGGTGTCAAAATCTCCATTCTCTTAGGAGTACCTGAGATCAGGCAATTACACTGTGTTTCTTCTTCCAAACAAGACACAGAGAATTACTTGTTTTAACTTAACTTTAAAAAGAATTTTTTTTCTTAAATTTGAATTTTAGTTGAAACTGCCCTCACAACTACTGTGCAACTGGGGTCGTGCTTCGTGGTGGCCTCAGAAGCATCATACAGGCCCAGTGTTGACCACAGGCCTGCCCAGCGGCAGGTGGCTCTGGAGAAACGACTGACAGTCTCTGACTCTCCAGGGGACATGCCCCGCGAGTCCTGGTGGACACCCCCAACTGAGGACTGCACTGACCCCATTGCCCTACTTTTCCTATCCACTTCCAGTCACGGTGAAGTTTGCATTAGTGAGAGATGAACAGCAATGACCAACAGGAAGGAGAGGGATCCTGACACACTACAGTGAGAGCAGCAATGAAGGGGGACTCTCTCTTTAAAAAGCCAAGACGAACAGCAATGCTCTCAGACTGTGGCTGACTGTAACTGGAGGCCAGCTGAGGGGAGTACGGTACTTCCTTCTCCGTACCTTCTCATCTGGGGCCGCCTCTGCCTCCTGGACAGCACACAGCTCTTCCTCTACGAGGACATACTCATGAGCAGCCCGCCTCTCTCCTGCTGCCTGGCTGCTGTCTTCAGGCCACAGGCCAGCCTGAGGAATGAGGACTTCCTGCCTGTGGCTGGGGACCTGGGGCAGAACTGTGGTGTCCTCTACCACATGTCCATTAAGGCTAGATGGACTAGCCACAGTGAGTGTGGCATGGCCAGGCCCCTCCTGCAGGCAGTCCGTTGAGTGTGTGTTAAGACCCTGTTGGTCATCTGACTGTCCAGCACCTCCAGTGGTCACGAAGAGTTCATCCTTTCCCACTCTGCCTTCCAGGGAGGAGCTGGCCTCAGAACTCAGCGGGTCATGCCGCGGGGCCTCTTCTTCCCCCTTTCTGCAAGGAAGTTCAAGTGGTTCTATGTAGTCTGTGAGGGTCTTCTGCACAGTGCTCTCATCGTGGCCCTGTCTATGCATGAAGTCCATGGCCCATTCCACTCGATGCTGAAACCTGTCAACAGAAACACCATCAATAACACACTCAAGTCTCAACTCCACGACAACAAAATGACCAAAAAGCTACGAGATGGCCCACCAACATGTGGAGTTTTCCTGAAGGGTGGATTACAAGCAGAGCTTGCCTCCTTCACACTCTCCTACGTCTGTCAATCAACAAGCATGCATCACTGGCCTTTTGATATCATTTGCTTACTTAGATTAAGAAAGTGTAAAAACGTGTGTAATTTAAAACCAAGAGACACTAGTAAATAAGGCAGAGAAAATACCGCCTTTTACTGGGATCCATTTTGTCTTATTTTAATCTTGGTTATCACATTGTTCTCTACAGATACTCCTTTCATAATAGAAGACCCTTCATTTAGTATTGGAAAGTGAATTTAATCAATATTTTTCATAGTACCCAAGAAGATCACTGGATATGGAAAGAAATGATCTGCCTTATATACAGTTCAAGCTTACTTTCTGTTGTGATGAAACACTCTGACCAAAAGCAACTTGGGGAGGAAAGGGTTTATTTCACCTTAGAGCTTACATGCACCATAAAGGGAAGCCAGGGCAGAAGCTCCAGGTAGGACCCAGAGGCAGGGAAGGAAACAAAGGCCTTGGAGGAACTTTGTTTACTAGCTCACTCTCTAGCTCATGGTCAGCTAGCTTTCTTATACAACCCAGGCCCACCTGCCTAGGGATGATACTGCCCACAGTGGTCTAGGCCCTCCTCCACCAATTAGCAGTTGAGAAAATGCTCTGTAGACCAATCTGACAGAAGCAATCAACTGAGCTTTCCTCTTCCCATGTGTGTCAAGCTGACACCCAAGATTAGTCACCACACACACACACACACACACACACACACACTGAAATAAATTCCCCATAATAATCTTTAGCATATAGTAACACGTTACATTTCTACACTCAAAGAGCTGAGTACTTGCCAAGGTATAAAGGCCATGGTGAAGTCAACAGGGCTGTATCAGGTCACTGCTGGGATGTGTTCCTGTGAATCGGAACCTGTTGCAAACCAAAGACCAGCAGAAGGCTGACCTCAGCAGCCAACTCCTGTCGCTCTGCCCACGCCCAAGAAGACACATGTAATTTCATTCGATGCCTGGATATATCAGGGCGCACATACTGTCATGTCTCATACAATCCAGCAGGCAAACTGGCTTTTGCACCTAGAAAGACCGGTGCCTGCTTCCCCTTGGCTCATCAGAATCCCAAGCTGTTCACACTGGTTTTCCTACACACAGATGAGCATCCATCCCTGTTCACTGGGGCTGAATCTTTGACTCATTCATTTGCTGTTCTGGGGATTGGACCTAGGGCCACAAGCAAGGGCAAGCACTCTACCACGGCATCACCCCATGCCTGTTTTTTTGTTTTTGTTTTTTTTTTAGGCAGGGTCTCTCTGCCTGGGCTGGACTTGAACTTGCCAATTCTTCTGCCTCAGTTTCTTTCTTTTTTTTTCGAGACAGGGTTTCTCTGTGTAGCTTTGCGCCTTTCCTGGAATTCGCTTTGGAGACCAGGCTGGCCTCAAACTCACAGAGATACGCCTGCCTCTGCCTCCCGAGTGCTGGGATTAAAGGCGTGCGCCACCACCGCCCGGCTTGCCTCAGTTTCTTGAGTAGCTGGTATTACAGCCTGTGTCAGCAGGCCTGGCTGAATCTCAGATTTAAAGGCTGAAACATAGCAAGGCTACTCTGAAACCTGTAGCAGAACAGTATAAAATGTGGAGAATCTGTTATCGCACATTTGGGGGTTAGCCTGAATGTCACCATTTACTACTGTGTAGATTACTCAGCTTCTGTTTCCATTTCCTCCCCCACAAAATTGGGGACACTAGTCCTACCAGCTCACAGAGATCTTGTTACATCCAACCTTTTATCATGAGGGGACATGGTGGCCTGGTGACCAATACATGCAATAGAAATGCAGGAAAGATCTAGAAAGAAGTTTTTTTGTGCTAACTCAGACTCAGAAGAGTCAGGGCCAGGGCCATGTGTAGGTTTGAATACAACATGTGCTGAGACAAATTGACTTGTGTTTTATGCTACCCCTGAAGTCCTCATAGTAAGAAAGCAGATGTGGGCCCCTCCGCCTCTCCCCTCTTCTGTCACAAGCCACAGCCACTGCATTCCTGCCTTGTAGTATCTCAGACGACCTAATACTACAACAGGAGTGGCCACAGGATTGTGCAGAAGAAATCCCAAGTTAAGGCCAGAGAGGGAAGAGTAAGACAGCAAATAGCCTGGGTGTGTGGCATGCAGGTCCCAGAGTGGTGTCCTCCTGCTGACTGGAAACACCTTACACAGCCAAGTGCTGGAGGAGTGGTAAGAACAGAGTAGGTGCCAGGGGCCAAGGGGGAGAGGGCAGGGGGAGGAGGAGCAGCCAGGACTGGAAGCAAACCCACTCATGGCTGCAAGAACTCCATACCTCTCAGGTTCCCAGGCTCTGAACATGCCTCTTCCACTGGCCAGATCCCCTCCTCTACCTGGTCAACTGTGCCCATTTATTATCTGGGCCATTCCAGAGCCAGCTCGGGAAGGCCCAAGTCTGACCTCCAGTGAGGAACTTAACTTCCCATGGTTCAGTTCCTCATCTGCAGAACATGGATATCAGGAGGATCGAGGGGTCTTCATGGGCTGGGGTGAGGACTCAGGAGACGAGCGAGAAGTCTATCATGTGCCCAGCACCCCTCACACAACATACTCCAGCATCACTGCCATAAACAGTTGCTTTATTGTTCTCATGTGTCAATTCCTCTCACTCTGGAGCTGAGCCCACTTAGTCATGGGAAAGCTATTCCATTAGTGTATTGTTTCCATTTAAGATGAGGTCATCCTGACTGGGGCACTTAACAGAAGGAGGAAACACAGACAGACACGGACGGACGGACACACACACACACACACACACACACACGCACACAATGCTGGAGGCAGGGACTGGCTAAGAACACCAAGGCCTGCAGGCACCACCAGAAGCTGAGATTGGCAGGAAAGGTCCTCCCGTGCCCTCCAGAGGGAGGAGCCCTGTCAAAACCTGCATTTTGGTCTTTTATCTTCTAGGACTGAAGATTCACTTCTGTTGTTTTGCGTCACTGAGCCTGCAGTCCTTTGGGCCGGCGGCTGAAGGAAACACACCTGAGCTGAGGAGGCACTCCTGGGCCCCTGCACTGCAGACCTGCAGTGCCGCTGAGTTTCGCTCTTCAGGGAGGCGGGACTCACTTCCTCGGACAGCAAGCCTGACTAGGAGGGGTCCCCAGCCTCTGTCTTGTTTCTGAATCCTAGCTTTGAGTACAGTGACCCGTGTACAGTGACCCTTCCTGTGGCCAAGTTCTAAGTAAATCCCACTCCAAGCCTAGCCTGGGAACATGCCTCCCTGACACGCTGCTTGCCAGCAGGGCACAGGGCTGTGAGACTCTGCCGTTGCGGGTTAGAAGGTGTGAACGTGACTGTGGACTTGGCATTGTAAGGCTCTACAGAGGGGCTGGGATCTGAACTAGAGAACTAATGCAGCCCGTGGAGACCAGCTCCAAGGCTACAAACAGGGTTGGAGGAAAAGGTCCACAGTGGAGCGAAAGTTATGGCTTTTTATCTGAGGGAAAAAGACTCACACATGATCTGAGGGTCATTTTCTTTTACTCTTCTTTATAGCTCTAATTCTTCCTGGTTCCAATTCCTTCTAAGTTCTAATTCTTTCTAGTTCTCCTCTGTTCTACACAGCTCTCTATTTTACAGGAGGCTTTTTTTCAATAATAAAAAGTTATAAAGTCACCTCTGAAGGTCATAGCACATTCCTTGAGTAAACAATAAGTGGCAGAGCCATTTACCACGGCAAGGCAAGGCTTTAAGGTTCCTGGTGTAAGACTGGGACCAGTGGCTGGGGTCACAGTGCCGGGTGAGACAGGCTGCAGAGAGATCTGCACAGTCAGGTCTTGATCAGCCAGACTTAGCAAGTGAAGAATTGGCAAAGTATCTTAGGTTGCTCTGTGTTACTAACCTTGATTCTATAATAAGACCTCTGAGAATTTGTCCTTGTGTATTTTGTGGAGGTCAATCGTATGAGGCGTTTTGTTTACTTTGAAATTGCTCTTAGGTTATGAATGAGCTAACTGTCTGTAGTTGGTCACAGACAGGGGGAAATTGTTGTTTTCTTATGTTAGTCTGAGTTAAAGGAATAAAGCAGGCTTCCCAGGGTCTCACAGTCCCCGTGGGACAATGGATCTAGTTATGAAGGATATCTTAGCATGTTTCAGTTCATCAAAACTATACAGCTTAATGGGAAGTCATCTTCTTGGCCATCCACAGAACATGTGCCCTTAAGATTGAGATGTAATCATGGGATTACATGTACACATAGCATGAAAATGCCTGGTGATGAGGGGTTCCAGAGCTGGCTTTGCACATGTGGAATTACATACAGAAGGAACCTGTTTTCCAGAGTCTGTGGTCCATAGGCCTTGCTTGACAGGGCTCCTCCATCAGCGAATTACTTATCTGGTGAGTTGGCATATGAATTATCAATTGCCATCTGCTGTATTTGCGTCATGGCCCAAAATAGCTCCTGACAGAGAGAACGAGGGTTGGGATGAACAGACCTCTATTTTGTTTTATGAGAAAGGTGTGCTGGCTAGTCTTATGTCAACTTGACACAAGCTAAAGTCATCTGAGAGGGGGGACCCTCAATTAAGAAAATGCCTCCATAAGACTGGGCTGTTGATAAGCCTTTAGGGCATTTTCTTAATTAGTGATTGATGGGGGAGTGCCCAGTCCATTTTGAGTGGTGCCATCCCTGGGCTGGTGGTCCTGGATTCTATAAGAAAACATGCTGAGCAAGCCAGCAAGCAGCACCCTTCCACAGCCTCTGCATCAGCTCCTGTCTCCAGGTTCCTGTCCTGTTTGAGTTCCTGTCCTGACTTCCTTCTATGATGAACAGTGCTGTGGAAGAGCAAGCCAAATAAACCCTTAACTCTCCAACCTGCTTGGTCATGGTGTTTCATCACAGTAATAGTAACCCTGACCAAGACCCGGGGCTTACGCTGTAGCCCAGGCTAGACTGGAACTCACTATGTAGACCAAGCTGGCCTTGTACTCATAACAATCCTACTGTCTCAGTGCTGAGATTACAGGCTTAGTCTTTGTCCTATCAAGGGACCACTAAGTCCAGGCCACAGAGATGCCAGTTCTGGCCTTGATATCCTGGAACTGACTCCAAACCCAAGCATGTGAGATTACACAGAGAAAAGAGCCTTGGGCCCATTATCTGGGGCAGTAGAGAGGATCGTAGTGGGGAGAAATTCTAGGAGAGGTGATGCATGTGCAGGACCATGGGCATGTTGGGACTAGCTGGACATCAGACAGGTGTCTGTGGAGTCAGGGGAAATGCTTCCAGAATGTCTAAGAGGGGCTGACGGGACTTCCGTGAAACTCTCTGGTACTACAGTGTGTAGAGCAAGCAAGAGGGCAGGACCATCTGTCCACACGGGCTGGACGCCCGCTCATGCCCACTCAGAACCCGAGTCCCAGAATCTCAGGACTTCAGAACACATTCTCGACACGACAGCGGTTGGTGTTTTGGGAGACTGAACTGAACAAGCAACACATTTCAGATGGGATTTGAGCCACATTAAGTTCAGACTCAGTTTCCAAGCATTATCTCCTATCAGGAGAAAACAAAGGTACAAGGTTGCATCATCACAGAGTATCTAACACCAGACCCGAGGAGACACAGCTGCACCAAAGCCAAGGTCGCCCTCACTTACTTCTCTGAGGTGATTATGGGCATGTCTGTCTGCACACCTGGAACAGAAAGACGCTCTATTAGTTCCAGACAGACTCCCTTAGAGGGAACAAAACCCACTAAAAAAGACAGATAATTTCAGATCCAGTCACACAGCTGGATGGTGACACGTATTGGCCACAGCCAGCTTGTTCTGACCGCAGCCCTCCCCTGCACCCACATCCTCCTGCTGGCTCAGACGGGCCCTCAGAGCCTCAGCCTCAGCTCAGAAGCAGATATGTAGGGGGCAGTTCATCTGTTGGAGTGCTTGGGCCCTGTGTGAGCTCAGCAGGAAGGGCTGGAGAGACCCTTGATGGAGGTGTGGTTTGGGGTATGGGGCTGGGGGCTGCAGCTCTCCTGCTGGTGCCAGGGAGGACAAGTCCTTCTTCTAAAGCATTTTCCGGTCACTCAGTAGTCTAGCTTTCAGTCCTAGTCCCCCTCATTCTGGCTTCTGGAAAGTTGTCTCCCTTCTCAAATTCAGCACTGTGGTGGTCTGAATGAGAATGGTCCCTGTAGGCTCACAGATTTAAATCACCAGGGAGTGGCACTATTTGAAAGGATTAGGAGGTGTGGCAGAGGCAGGGTGTCACTCACTGGCTTTGAGGTTTCAAAAAGCCTATTATTCTAAGACCAGAGTCCCTCTCTTCCTGCTGCCTGTGGATACAGATGTCGAACTGTCGGCTCCCTCTCCAGGACCAGGTCTGCCAGCATGCCAGCATGCTCCCCGCCATGATGACAGTGGACCAAATCTCTGACCTGTAAGCCAGCCCCAGTTAAATGCTTTCCTTTGTAAGAGTTGCCATGGTCATGGTGTCTCTTCCCAGCAACAGAACACTGACATAGATTCATCTAAAGGTGAAGGAGGCATGACGGAGGATGTTTAATTTGAAGCCCAGGGAGGAGGCAACAAGTCTAATGAGAAGGACAGATGGATTCTGGGGCAGTTTATGGATCGGAGACATTCTGACAGGAGAAAATGGACAGTCTCTTCCATGAGGGCTGAACAGTAGGTGAGTGTTCCCTAAGACAGCTGCTGCCAGGGTGGTTATATAACTAACGGGCTAAACCTAACCCATTGATTAAAATAAAAGACTGCTGGGTGGTGGTGTCACATGCCTTTAAACCCAGTACTTGGAAGGTGGAGGCAGGAGGATCTCTGTGAGTTTGAGGTTAGCCTGATCTACAGAGTGAGTTTCAGGACAGCTAGAGCCATTACATAGAAAAACCCTGCTTGAAAAAAACAACAATAACAAAAACAAAAAGAAAAAAAGGAAAAATATATTTATTTATTCATTCATTCATTCATTCATTTATTTATCTTGAGATAGGGTCACATTATGCAGCCCTGGCTGGCCTGGAACTTGTTGTGTAGATCAGGCTGGCCTTGAACTCACGGAGTTCAGCCTGCGTCTGCCTCCAGAGTACTGGGATTAAAGGCACGCAGTGCTGTGCCTGGCTTTAAGACTTTACAATTTTTATTTATGTGCACTGTGTGTGTGAGTGTGTGGGCAACTGCATACTAGAAGAGGGAGTCTCATCCCCTGGAGTGGGAGTTCAGACAGTTGTGAGTGGGGAACCAAAGTTGGGTCCTGTGCAGCAACCATAAGTGTTCTTAATGATGAGCCATCTTTCCATGCTCTAATATTTCCACAAAAGAAAGATTACTTTGAAATACTTGGGTTTTGTAAGCACACATTATATTGATGAGCTTTCCAAGGCAGAACTGCAGAGTCTGGCCTTGATCCTGGGCCCCACCACACCACACTGCTTTTGCTGTGTGATGGGGTCAGAATCCAGGATGCCCACATACTAGGCAAATCCTGTACCTCTAAGTGACAGGGTCTTGCTATGTAACACGGTAGCCTCAAAGTCACAACAATCCTCCAGTCTCAGTGCCTCAAGTGCTACGATTTCAGTGTGTGTCACCATGCCTGACTTATGCTTTCACTCCAGTATTTATTTACTTAGGTAGGGTCCATTAGCAGGTAGCCCAGGCTGCCCAGTTCACAAGCCTCCTCTTAGCCTCCCAAGTAGTAGGATTACAGAAGTACATGGCCATGCTTGGTCTTATTCTTACTTTTCAACTGGTGTAAGAAAACATAAAAGCTGTATTATCAAGGGGGAAACAATACGTGTACACTTGTGTAATTTTTAAGTCAGGTACGATATCTACCTCCTCAAACCCTTTCATCTTCAAATATATTAAGTATGGATTGCCTTTTCGAAAAACTGTTTAAAGCTGTGTATCAGTGTTCTGCCTGCATGCATGTCTGTGCACCATGTGTACGCAGAGGCCAGGAAAGGGCAGTGGCTCCCCTGGGGCTGGTTTTGCCGATGATTCTGAGCTGCCACGTGGGAGCTGGGAACTGAACCTGTGTCCCCTGCAAGAGCAGCCAGTGCTCTTAATGGCTTAGCCATCTCTTTAGCCTCCAAATACATATTTCTTAGGCCTCCATTTGGTATCACCACAGCTCACAGCTTCATTCTCTCATTTAATAACATCACAGTGAGCCCTCAACCCTATCCTGGTGTATGGATTTTTGTTTTTCAAGATGAGGTTTCTCTGTGTAGCCCTGGTTGTCCTGGAACTCACTCTGTAGCCCAGGCTGGCCTCAAACTCAGAGATCTGTCTGTCTCTGCCTCCCGAGTGTTGGGATTAAAGGTGTGCACCACCACTGCCCAGCTTCTGCATTTTGTTATAAGAACACACTACTGTTTGCAATCAACACTCTTCTCTTTCACTGGGCTCTTTCTGTTCTTCAAGTGTTACAAATAGGGCCTCAGTGAACGGCCTATTTTTCTTCCCATTTGTTCCAGTGTATTGTTAAGAACAATCTAGGCTCACAGGGAAAATACAAATATAATTTTGCTAAACATGGTTAAATTCCCTCAGTAATGGCTGAGGCACATGAATACACATGCAGCACGCGTGTGCACACACACACACACACACACACACACACACACACACACACACACACACACCCTGTGGTGATGGAAGTTTGCCACAGTCTCACCAGCTCAGCACACTGTCAGGCATTTAGGGTTCTGACCAGCTGCTGAACTAATACCTCAGTGTGGGTAATTTCTATACTTTCTTACATGAGTCATTTTACATCCCCCAACCCTGCTTTTTTTTCCTGTTGAGACAGGGTCTCTAGCTGGTGATCCTCCAGTCTCAGCTTCCTACTTGCTAGGATTATAGGTCTGAGCCACTATACCAGTGGTTCTCAACCTGTGGGGCATGACCCCTCTGGGGTCACATGTCAGATATCCTGCATATCAGATATTTACACTATGATTCATAAGAGTAGTCAAATTAGTTTTGAAGTAGCAACAAAGTAATTTTATGGTTGTGGGTCACTACAACATGAGAAACTGTATTAAAGGTTCACAGCATTAGGAAGGTTGAGAACCACTGCACTATACTCAGCTTTAAAATTAATTAATTAATTAACTTCTTTATTCTTTTTCAAAACAGGGTCTCACTATGTACCTCTGACTATCCTGGAACTTGCTATGTAGACCAGGCTGTCCTCGAACTCACAGAGAGATCCACCTGCCTTTGCCTCCCAAGTGCTGGGATTAAAGGCGTGCGCCACCACACCCGGCAATTCTTCTATGTTTTAACTTACTGGTATTGCTTAATTATGAGGATGCCTTGGAAAATATATTAGGAGAAAAGAATTATAAATTAAGGAGCTATGCACATTTTGATTAGTTTTAAATTTTAAACTCCATTTATGTGTGTGTGTGTGTGTGTGTGTGTGTGTGTGTGTGTGTGTGTGTATGTGTGTGTGTGTGTTTGTGTGTGTGTGTGTGTGTGTGTGTGTGTGTGTGTGTGTGTGTGTATGTGTGTACGTGCCACAGCATGTGTGGAGGTCAAAGGACAACTTGCAGTAATGACTCCTTCCACCATATGGGTCTGTGAGGGCTACCCTTGTCAACTTGACTACATCTGGAATTAACTAAAACCCAAGCAGCTGGGCAAACCTGTGAGGGGTTTTTCTTTTTCTTTCTTTTTTTTTTTTTTTTTTTGAGACAGGTTTTCTCAATGTAGCCCTGGTTATCCTAGAATTCGCTCTCTAGACCAAGCTGGCCTCAAATTCACAAGATCCACCTGTCTCTGCCTCCCGAGTGCTGGGATTAAAGCCATGAGCCACCACCGCCTGGCTGGGATTTTTCTTCATTGGATTATTTGTGGTGGGAAGACCTACCCTAAATCTGGGCCACACCTTCTGGTGCAGCCCACGTAAAAGGACAGGAAGGAAGGAAGTTTTTGCTTTTTGCCTGCTTGCCTTCATTCTCATTGTCCATCTATCCTGCTGCTGCTGCTGAGGCATTCCTTCATTGGTGTTGGAGCCTACTTCTTCAGGATTCCCACACGTACTAAAGACTGGGACATCCAGCATCGTGGACGGAACAACTACTGAATTCTTGGACTTCCTGTCAGGAGACAGACAGCCACTGTTGGACTAGCCAGACCATAGCCTATAAGCCATGCTAATAAATCCCATATGAATAAACCACACACGCACACACATTCTCTCTCCCTCTGTGATTCTATCAGTTCTGGTGCTCTACAGAGTCCTGACTAACAGGCCCGGGAGATCTGACTCCGGTAGTAAGGGTGGGGGTTGGTGGCAGGCTGTCTCACCAGCAGCCCAACACTGCCATAGCTATTGTACATTTTACCTCTGCAAATAAAACACCACGCTCACTTTGACAGTGGCACAGGCAGGCAGAACTTCATACACACAGCATCCTGCTAGGCCAGGTGTGACAAAAGAGCCAGAATAATCTTTCCCTGTCTTCTGAGGTGCAAAGGATTGAAACCAGGGCCCTGTATGTGTAAGACTTCTGACCATCCCAAGGAAGCTGAAACACATTTCCAAGAACCATGAGGATTTTTTTGCCTGGTCTGCTGGCACATGGGAGATCCTGAGTTCAAGGCCAGCCTGGGCTAAGTAGTGAGACTTTTTTTTTTTGAGACAGGGTTTTGCTGTGTATCCCGGGCTGTCCTGGATCTCGCTCTGTAGACCAGGCTGGCCTCAAACTCACAGAGATCTGCCTGGCTCTGCCTCCTGAGTGCTGGGATTAAAGGCATGCACCACCATCACCCTGGCTGAGACATTCTTTAAAAAAAAAAAAAAAAAAAGTCAAACTCAAACAAAACAAAACTGCTTGATGCAAGTTCTTGTAGGCGCTCTTCCAGGCAGGAACACTCTCGGTGTGCCTCTGTTCCAGAACTTACCACCTCACCAGGACATGTAAGCGCCAAAGGAAAACTGCATGGCTTACCTTTCCATCTGGCAGCCAGCTTGGGACTGGAGATTGTGAAGTTCGGACGGCTTCTTGAAAGAATGCCTTTTCCAAAGTAGCCCTTTCAGGAAGAAAACATGGTTGGTTGATGCTCAGCTGTTCAGTTTGCAGCTGCGCAGAAGACAACCATTCAACAGCCTCGTGTTTCCCTGACTCTAATGAGCACACATTCCCACCTCCGTGGTTTATGTAGGTGTTCATGTACATGTGTGCACATGGGCAAGTGCAGGGACATGTGTGCAGAGACGGGTGTGCAAGTGCATGTGTGCAGAGACGGGTATGCAGGTGCATGTGTGCAGAGACGGGTGTGCAGGTGCATGTGTGCAGAGACGGGTGTGCAGGTGCATGTGTGCAGAGACGGGTGTGCAGGTGCATGTGTGCAGAGACGGGTGTGCAGGTGCATGTGTGCAGAGATGGGTGTGCAGGTGCATGTGTGCAGAGATGGGTGTGCAGGTGCATGTGTGCAGAGATGGGTGTGCAGGTACATGTGTGCAGAGATGGGTGTGCAGGTGCATGTGTGCACATGTCTGCATGCCACATCATGTTGAGTATTTCCCATAGGAACTGGGGTCTGAACTTAGGACCTCAGTTACTTTATTCCTGGATTATCTCCAACCCCCACAGCTTTAGTACCAGCTCGCCTATCTCATGAGGAATCACTTCAGCTTGCGTCTGGCATCCTGAAGGCACCAGAGCAGGCAGGGGCAGCTTCTTCTCACGTGGCTCAGGAGTGCATTGTGTGTGGGAGTGGGAGCCATGCCCACTGCAGACAAAGGCCTCTTGGATTCCTTCCTACTCTGGACTGGAAGCATCCCTTTCTTTCCTGCTGATTTTCCCCCAAATAATACTTTCCCTGCCTTTTTTTTTCCTTTTGGTTTTTCGAGACAGGGTTTCTCTGTGTGGTTTTGGTGTCTGTCCTAGATCTCGCTCTGTAGACCAGGCTGGCCTCTGCCTCCCGAGTACTGGGATTAAAGGCGTGCATCCATGCCGCCAGGGCTCCTTTCCCTGCTTTTGACTCTAGACAAGCAGAAAAAAATCAAATAATAGAAAGATGATTAAAACGTCAGCTACGTAGAGCCTCATCTCACCCGCACACTGTGAACAAAGGCTTCAGCAGTGAGCTGCAGGCAGACAGGACCTAACGAGGCCTCAGCGCACCAGGGCCCCGCTGACCTTACTGCAAGCTTTCTAGAGAAAGTAGAGGGCAGGATGCCCAGTGGCAGCTGTCCTGAGCTGGGAGTGGAGGCAGGGAGTGTCACAGGTATGAGCGACTTCAGAGGGGATGGCAGGCACAGCTCAGAGGAGGAACACAAGGCCCTCGGCCTAATCCCCAGCACCAAACCAAACACACCAACACTAACACTGGACTGTGGAGATATGGAACCACTCTATGGACTCATGATGTCACTGAATTAAAGGTCTGCTTTGGAGGGGTGGACTTCTTAGCTATAAGCTGCAGGGGGATGATCCTTCTGTACACTGAATCTGTATTGCCCTCATTGGTTGATAACAAAGCTGTTTGGGCCTATGGCAAGGCAAGATAAGGTTAGGTGGAACAAAAAAACTGAGGACCCAGAGGAAGAGGGGCGGAGTCGAGAGAGATGAGAGCCAGCTGCCCAAGAAGCAAGATGCCAGAGGACTGGTACAGCCACGGCCATATTAGCAGAAATTAACAGAAATGGGTTAATCTAAATGTAAGAGCTAGTTAGTAATAAGCCTGAGCCATCAGTCAAGCATTTATAATTAAATAAGCCTCTGTGTGGTAATTTGGGAAGTGGATGCTGGGTATTTGGGAACAGGTGGTCGAGGCAGAAATCTCTACCTCCAGTTACAATAAGCTACATCTCATCCAGGCTACTTAAAAAATTATTTTTGCGAGGCAGTGGTGGTGTACATGTTTAATGCCAGCACTAGGGAGGCAGAGGCAGGTGGATCTCTGTGAGTTCAGGGGCCAGTCTGGTCTATGCAGCAAGTTCCAGGATGGCCAGGGCTATATAGAGAAACTCTGTCTGGAAAAACAAAAGCCAAAACCAAAAACTAAACAAAAAGAGCCCAAAACCAAACCAACCAAACAAACAAAAAAACCCAACACAAACAAACAAAAAAGATCCATTCCTGCAGGTGGTGGTGGCACAAACCTTTAATCCCAGCACTCGGGAGGCAGAGGCAGGTGGATCTCTGTGAATTCGAGACCAACCTGGTCTACAGAGCGAGTTCCAGGACAGGCTCCAAAGCTACACAGAGAAACCCTGTCTTGAAACACCAAAAACCAAAAACCAAAACCTTTAAATTTCATGTGTATGAGTGTTTTGCCTAGATGTATGTCTATATACCACATGTGTGCCTGGTGCCTTCAGAGGCCAGGAGAAGGTACTAGATCATCTGGAACTGGAATTAGAGACTGTTGTGAGCTGTCATACTGGTGCTGGGAATTAGATCTAGGGCCTCTGGAAGAGAAGTCACTGCTCTTAACTGCTGAGCCATCTGTCCATCACGCTGCTTTTTAAAATGCTCCAGTAATAACAAATACGGAGAGTGGAGCAGGAGAGGGTGGTGGGGAGCAAGTCACCCATCTCATTTGAAGCCCATACCTGCCAGAACTAGAAGCTGTCCTCATCTAACAAGTTCCCAGAACAGAAAGAGAGCAGAGACCTTTGGGAACTTTCCACAGGCCCTGGCTCTGCCCATGAGCTGGGTCCTGTGCCACTGGGAAGGGACAGAAGTCAGTGGGGGTGATCTTCAGTTTTTATCCATTACATTCTGTAAATTACTTGTCTTTAATATATGTGGCTTCATCCTATGGTGTTGGAATGTGGGTTTGTGGCTGGGCGTGTCTAGTTCTCAGCCTCACAGTCAAGGGTGGGAGGATGCTCAAGGTGTCACCAGTTTCCAGGTCTTACCTTTCCATACAGCTGTTCCATGTCCTCCATGCCCCTGACTACCACATTGTTGCTAATCATTTCAGCTCGGAATATTCGGAATTCCTTCCTGGGACCTTGGTCCTGACCAAAGGGGATGGGCAGTGGTGACTCATAACTCTCATATACTCTTCTTTTCCTCTTCGGGGCACGGAAGACTGCCTCTGCCATTCTTCAAGGGTATCAGGCCTCTAGAGACAAAGGAGGAGGACCAGTCAGTAACCACAGACCAACAGAGCCAGCACACTTAGAACCGAGTTCATGTGGTCTCTGGGGGAAGGCCAAGTATCTATAAAACAATGACCAAGAAGATGTGACAAGGACATGATGGTGCAGATCAGTCACCAGGGGTGTCTCAGAGCCTGAGACCTCCAAGAAGCCAGTGCCATCATCTTCACTGAAGCTGGTAGCACCAAGGACTAACCTTATACCCTGAGAATTCCTGCCTTTAAGGACAAAGTGTGGTGATACTTTATTTGTGCTCTAACAAATAAAGCTTGCCTGGGGATCAAAGGAAAAAGCCAGCCACTATATTAAATATAGAGGTCAGGCAATGGTAGCACACGCCTTTAATCCCAGCATTCAGGAGGCAGAGATTCATTTGGATCTCTGTGAGTTCAAGGCCACACTGGGAACAGAGCCAGGCGTGGTGGTACATGCCTTTAATCCCAGCACTAGTTAACCATAGAGGTCTGGAGGTCTGTACAGACAGACAGGAAGTGGTAGAGCTGAGTAGAGAGAGAAAGTAAGATGGCAAGGCACAGAAAGGCATATAGGCATGAGCATATAGGAAGTAGTCTCTGGAGGCTGAGGAGTTGGTGAGGTGAGGTTGGCTGTGGCTTGTCCTATTCTTCTGATCTCTCAGCTTTCACCCCTATATCTGGCTCCAGGTTTTTTTTTTTATTTTTTTATTAATAAGACCATTTAGCTATTCATGTTATAACCAAGTACTTTTCTTTTCTTGACCAAGAGGCATTCAGAGCCTCCCAGGGATTACTAATCAGAGGTACTGGGGATGTAAAGATAAAACCAAGCAAGAATGTGTCCTCAGTAGAGTGAGTCAGGTGACATCTCTATCTTCCAAAGACCGACCTTAAGAGACATCATAAGCCGGGCGGTGGTGGCGCACGCCTTTAATCCCAGCACTCGGGAGGCAGAGCCAGGCGGATCTCTGTGAGTTCGAGGCCAGCCTGGTCTCCAAAGCGAGTTCCAGGATAAGGCGCAAAGCTACACAGAGAAACCCTGTCTCGAAAAACCAAAAAAAAAAAAAAAAAAAAAAAAAAAAAAAAAAAAAAAAAGAGACATCATAAGCCCCGGGGCTGTCAGTTCTCAGGGTTTTCTGTTTATTTTTTTGTTTGCTTAATTGAGACAGGGTCTCGTGTAGTCCAAGTTGACCTTGGATTCACCATGTAGGTGAGGATGACCATGAAATCCTGGTTCACCTGCTTCTACTTCCCAAGTGCTGGGATTTGAGGTGTGAGTCACCATGCCTGGCTCCCACTTTTAAAAGGAAATAAGGGTCACTGTCATTTAAGGGCCAATTATGTTCCACCAAATGCAGTGGGTGTGTGCGGAGACGCTGAAGCCAGACTGGCTGTGCTGTGATATACTCTGTGTGCTAGCTTCTGCACACACTGAAACCGGGAAGCTGCTGCCTCTTAGTTGTGAAACCTTGGGCAAAAGTCCCCCGGCCTCTCTGGGCTTTAGGTCATCTATAAAGGGGGCGAAAATCAGCCTCTCACAGCCAAGGCTCACAGAGTGTGTTGTGGAATATTTGCTTAACTATGCAAAGATGTGTTGCATTTGTTTAACTATGTAAAGATGTGTTGCTGTTTTACCATGGCTGCCTGAGGCACCTGACTGGTCTAATAAAAAGCTGAAGAGCCAATAAATAGTAAAGGAGGAGGTATAGATGGAGCTTCTGGGCAGGGAGAGTACACAGCGGGAGGAATTTAGGCTTAAGGAGAAAGAAAAAGAGATGCCAGGGAGACGCCAGGGGCCAGCCAACCAGCCAGCCATGGAGGAAGCAGGAAAGTAGGACGTATAGAATGAAAAAAAGGTAAAAAGTCCTGATGCAAAATGTGGAGGAATAGAAACAGGTTAACTTAAGTTAAAAGAGCTAGCGGGACAAGCCTAAGCTACGGCTGAGCAATCATAATTAATAAGTCTCCATGTCTTTATTTGAAGCTGGTTGGCAGCCCAAAGAAAATGCCAACTACAAGAGTGCTTGGAACAGATCACAGGGCAGTGGTGGCGCACGCCTTTAATCCCAGCACTCAGGAGGTAGAGCCAGGCTGATCTCTGTGAGTTCAAGACCAGCCTGGTCTACAGTGTGAGATCCAGGACAGGCACCAAAACTACCGAGAGAAACCCTGTCTCGAAAAAACAAAACAAAACAACAACACTCCCCCTCCCAAAAAAACTAAAAAAAAAAACAAAAAAAAAAAAACACCCAAAAAACCAAGAGTGCTTGGAACAGGACCTGGCATTGCTCATACACTGGGGATAATGGTTATGAAGTGAGTGCCAGCAATGCCATTTCACAGCAAAGGCAACATTTGGGTCAGTGAGGCCTGAAAAGGGCCCTGTGAGCAACGGCTCTGGATAACCATAGGGCTATGGAGTCCGGAGCCCAGGCTCTCTCCGTGGGTCCTGCTCAGGCACAGGCTGCATCTGTTCACTATGGACTAGGTCTGAGCGAGATCCCACATAGCTACCAACCAGGCAAGGAATTACCTAGAAGGAGTCAAGGAAGCTAAAGTCAAGACCTCTTTACTCGGGGTCTCACACTGACCTAAGGAGACAAAAAACAAGTATGGACACACATGAAAACTTGGATATAACACAGGGCTGCTGCCAGGTAACAGCTAACAACAGGAAGCATTGTTGAGCCACAGTCGATGCAAACGTGCACATTCCAACTGACAGACAGATGCTGTCACTAGGCGGGCAGGGAATTTGAACCTGCATCTGTCTAGGGTCAGAGTTAAACTGAGAAGTTACATGGAGCTGAAAGGTCTCACACATCACCCCTCACAAAGGACAAAGTATGATGATCTGGGTGCCCTTGCCCTCAAACCAGCATCCATTAGGAAAGTTGAGCCTGAGGTGGTGGGTGGCTTTAACATTTCATGACCATTAAAAAGAAATGATGTGGCAGGAACACTGGCTGCTCTTTCAGAGGATTCAGGTTCCATTCTCAGCACTCACATGGCAGCTCATGCCCATCTCTAACTCTAGTCCCAAGGACCTAATGCCCTCTTCTGGCCTCTATGGGCACTGCATGCATGTGATGCACAGACAAGAAATACAGGCAGGCAAACACTGGCATAATAATAATAATAATAATAATAATAATAATAATAATAATAATAATAATAATAGAAATGACAAGCCTTGGCCAAGATGTGATGACAGCTTCATGGAACTTCTCATGAAGCCAGGAACTTCAATAAGAACAGGGAAACAGACCAAGTGAATGACAGATACCCATGCATGGGGATGGAGAGGTGCTTAGTTAAAAGCACTGGATGCTCTTCCAGAAGACCTGGGTTCAATTCCCAGTACACACATGGTAGCTTACACCCACCTGCAACTCCAGTTCCAGGGGATCAGACACATTCTTCTGGCCTCCTCAGGAAGCCAAACAAGTGTTGCATGTTACAGTGCACATACAAACATGCAAGCACATATATGTGCATGTATATGAAAGCAATCATCAGGATGTACCTTCTTAGAACTGAGTGTTCCAGACAGGAACACACCAAATAAGTTAAGTACTTGGGCCTCTTAATGAAACATACCTGAGCATTACCATGCATGACATGCATAATACTGAACAGCATTTATGACCATGGCTACTGCATGGTAAGGTAGCCGAAGGGCTGTTCTCCTGAGAGCACTGTAACTATATATGATGATTGTCGACCTGAGAGACGTACTGAAGAGGCAACCCTCTGGGCACGTCTACGTTAGATGAGCCCAACCCCGAACGTGGATGGCACCACACCATGGGCTGCGGTCTTAGATCACAGAAAAAGGTGAGAGAGAGCCCAGGAGCCACATGCTGCTTCCTGACTGCGGTTACGATGTGAGCAGCTGGTCTGCTCTTGCAAGTGGTGCACAGAACATATATGCAGGCAAAATATTCACATGGGTAAACAAAACATAGCTTTAAAAAAAGAGAAACGTTTCTTGTTGCCACGTCAACAGAACACCACGATGTGAACAGGCAATGGAAATAAACCTGGAACCATCGTAATCAGGTTCAGGGTTCCAGATACTGACTGGGTCATGTACACACACATGACACCGGAGAGCTGTCCTTATTTCATAAAGAAGCCGTTTGCTCGAAGCTGTTACTAGGGAACATAAGAGGTACGACTTGATGTGGCGGTACATGCCTGTAATCCTCAGACTAAGACAGGAGGATTGCTCTGAGTTCCAGGCCAGCCTGTACTACAAAGTGACACCTTGTCTCAAAACACCACCAACAACAAAAACAAAACAAAACAAAAAAACCCCGAACAAACCAATGAATAGGTACATGAACAAAGAGAGGCAGGAGGGGTGTGGAAGGCTGGATGCAATGGCTGTAACTTGCTTTTTTCTTGAGTGAACCCAAGGCCTGGCTCACTCAAAGAAAACGCTCTACCGAAGGAGCCACAGTCCCAGCCCTGGCATTATCCTTATTCCCATTGTACAGGTGAGAAAAGTGACTCTGGGCAGCATGTACCTGCAAAGATTGTTACTCTTCGCTTCCCAAACTCGGGCATGCCTGACACCAAAGCACCATGAAGCGTATTTCTGTCCATCGAAAGCAAGGCCTGTCCTTTTTTCTTCTTCTGATGAGCTAGCCTAACTTTCATTTAAAAATTTTGGTGTTGCTATGTAGCTTTGGCTAGCTTTAAACTCACATCTCTGCCTCAGCCTAACCCCCTTTAGATGCTCCAAAATGTCAATCCAAGCACAAACAATAAAGGGGGTAGATCCATTTAGTTTTCCAACGTTCTTGGACCAGGTGCCAAACAAGTATCCCTCATGGCAAAACTCACCCATGGTCTCTTATCACTTATTTATTTCATTTAGTTTTTGAGACGGGCCACACGTAGCCCAGGCTGGCTTCAAACTTAATACGTAGCGGAGGATGGCCTTAAACACAGGTTGGGATTACAGGCGGGCACCAAGCACGCTGGATCTGATCCGGTGCTGGGCGCAGAAACACGCTGCCAACTGAGCCCCATCCTCGGCCCACCCTCGTGGGCTGCTCATCTTTAGAAAACACATTTGCCTCTATGTTCCTCACTGCACAGCTCCCGGGCTGAGGTGCAGGGCCGAGGGCCAAGGCAGACCAGCTCGGCTTTGGGGCAGCCGGCAACTGTCAGCCCGAGCAGAGTGCTCAGCAGCCCGCAGGACGGTGTGCCCAAGGGCGCTTGAGTGACAGCCAGCCCCCGCCCAACTCGCGCCCGAGGCCGCCACCACGCTGGGCACGGGGACACAGCATACCGCCAGGCCTCCGGCTCCCAGCCTCCACTCAGCCTTACCTTCCGCGATCACGCGTGCCCGCCGTTACCAGGACAACCTGGGGGCGGCGCTACAGCCGTCAAGCAGTGAAGCCGCAAAAACCAGTCGCACGCGCAGCCGCAGAACCTACACGCCGCTTCCTAGCGCGGCGCGCCTGCGCACAGTATCGCAGATGGTTCATTCTGCCCCACCTCCCGCTGAATCTAATGAGGATTCCTACAGGGTCATATATCCCGCTTTAATCCTCACGGCAATCTCACAAAGTCCATTTGTTTCTCCCCTCTTGAGGTTACATAAGTCTCGCAGTATAGCTTTGGTTTACCTAGAACTGACTGTGTAGCCCAGTCTGGCCTTGAACTCATGGAGATGCACCTACCTCTGTTTCCCCAATGCTAGGATTAAAGATGCTCACCGCCTCACGGGTCTAACACAAGATCCATTTTTACAGATGAGATGTGAAGTGGCCTGCCCCCAAAGAGTGCCCTTAACCTCCTCAATATGACGTGAGATTTTATTCAGTAATGAACCCTGCATGCTACAATAATGACCTACCAGATAAAATGTGCCCGCTGGTGCAATAATGGTGTGAAGGTTACGGAGGCAACTAACAGGAAAGAAATCATGCCTGGTACTGCAAACCTGATCAAAAGTCTGTGTCTCGGGAGGTCATAGGGCCTAAGGGGGAAAAAACCCTACTACTGCTGTCTTGTTAAATGGAGATGTCAATCTACTTCTAAATATTTTGGTTATACCCACAGATTAGTGCTGCCCTGACCCATGGCCAGAGAAGCACCTTTCTGCAGTGGGTTAATGGTCAGAGTGCTGAGAAGTTACTATAGAGTGATCAGCCTTAAATGGGATGTGTATATTAACTCTTGCCTGCCTAAGGCTGAAGAAACATTGAAAAAGAAGTGGGGGTTGGGGTGGGCCGGCGGCAGAAAGAAGATGAGAGCCAGAGGATGTGAGGAGCGCTGTGAAGTGCTGTCTTCTGGACGTGACAGAGCCCATGGCATTCATGAACTCAGAGCAGCAGTGATTACTTACACACGACTTGGACATGATCAAGCCCGAAAGCTCAGTTAACATTCTAGCAGGCAGTACTAATTGGATCTGACAGATTACCAAGAAGATAAAGAGCAGGGGATATGAAGGGGTGTGTGGGGGAGTAGGGGAATGGGAGAGGACAGTTGGGGGTGGCTATAATCAAGATACACTGTGTACATTTATGAAACTGTCAAAGACTATACAGAAGATATATATAAAGAACTAAAACAAAGAATACACACAGGCAGTAGAAAGATAATCTCTGCCAGGTGTGGTGGTGCACACCTTTAATCCTAGCACTTGGTAAGGAGAAGCAGCCAGATCTCTGAATTCAAGGCCAGCCTGGTCTACTTAGCAAGTTCCAGGTCAGCCAAGACTATATATACAGTGAGATCCTGTCTTATTTTTTTCTCCTCAGGCTGGGGTGTGACTTAGTGGTGGAGCACTTGCCTAGCATTTAGAGACCTTGGGGTTCATTAAAGACAAAACAAAACAAACAACTTATTTCTCAAACTTCCAACCTGTTGTATCTTGTTTCTTCCGTACTCTTCACATCCCAACTTTGATTTCTTTGGTGAAGTATTTGAAAATAATTCCTACCCAGGCTTGGTGGTGTGTATTTATAGTCACAGTTGCTAGGAAAGCTGAGGGGCTAGCATCCTTTGAGGCTGTGAGTTCAAGGCCAGGCAGAGAACTATATGAAGCAGGCAGTAGCGGCGCTCAACAGTGACCACAACACTCCTTATCGAGTTAGAGGCAGGCAGATCTCCTGAGGTCGAGGCCAGCCTGGTCCAGAGAGTGAGTTCCAGGACAGCCAGGGCTACACTGAGAAACCCTGTCTTAAAAAACCAAACCAACCAAACAACCAACCAACCCAACAACAACCAGAGGGGCTGGAGAAGTGGCTCGGGTTAAGAGTGCTGGCTGCTCTTCCAGAGGATGTGGGTTCAATTTGCAGAGCCTACATGGCAGCTCACAACCATCTGTAACTTCAGCTCCAGGGCACCTGATGCCCTTTTCTGGCCCCAGTCACACACGTGGTACACAGACATACACGTAGGCACAACACTCATATGCGTAAAATAAGTAAATCTAAAAATAAAAAATAAGACAACAAGAACCTCAAACATCATGTAAAACCTCACCCATGATATTCCAGTATTATACACATGTAACACAGACACACACACTCCTATCAACTGTGTAGTTGATTCTATTTCTGCTAGTCATGTGTATTCTATAGAGTTAGCAAATATTGATCTGTTCTTCCCGGGAGAACACAGGGCTGGCTTCTGCCAACCTGTAATCACAGTCTTTTCATCCTGTGGTCACTATAAGCCTGTTTCATACTGTTCATTCTATTTAAAGTCATCCTTTGTATTATCTGCTGTTGATTCATTGACACTGAACTTGCAGCCAGCAGTGAAATAACATGCATGCCAGGGTCTTATCTGAGCCATATTTCCTTCAGCAAATCGCATTTCCTGCCTGAGCAACACTGCATCACCTCAGCACTCTGCTTGAGGCGTTTGAAACACTCCAATCACAAGTAAAAAACACAAGAGTGTAGAAATCGTGTGCACATGGCTGACTCTGGGTGTGTGTGAATCTGTGAGGGACTGCAAAAGTGAGGCCTTCATTTTGAGGTCTCACACACACATATACGCACGCATGCACGGACGCACACTCCATTTTAGAATTCCAGAATAGTGTTAAAAACAAACAGAAAACCATCTAGATGTCACATAAGGGAACACACAAATAAAGTGAAAGTAGCTTGCAATGCAATTCTTTTTGCAAAAAGGGTGTGCCAAGACCCACAGCAAGCTAGCAAGCACATGGGGTTAGGAACTTCAGTTGATGATCATGTGTTCGCCATTGGCTGGAGTCTGAGCTCTCAGACTTCTGCCATTGGTTAGTTTGGAAAGAATCCTAGGCAAAGACAATGAAGGGAAGGGTTCGGAGCTGCAGGCCGCCAAGTAGGGGGGAGGTTGCTTTGCATAAATCAAAGTTTTACCAGGTAGGAGAGATCTGTGGAATCTTAGTCCTTGGTAGACCAACTACTTTTGATAGACTAAAACAAACACTTCTAACAGTATAAAGGCCGTCTGTCTACTACAGCTTAAACACAGCTGGAAATGGACATCAAGTCTTTTGTTGTTGTTGTTTTCTTTTTAAATTTGGTTTTTCCAGACAGGGTTTCTCTGTGTAGCTTTTGCTGTCTTGGAACGTGATCTTTAGATTAGGCTGGCCTCGAACTCAGAGATCCACCTGCTTCTGCCCCCTGAGTGCTGGGATTAAAGGCACATACCAACACTGCCCAGCGACACCAAGTCTTAATGTGAGCCATGAATGGAATCATCATGTAATTTTTGAAATATACTGAAAAAGAAAAAGAAAAAGAAAGAAAGGAAGGAAAAAGTTGCCCCTCCCCCTGCTTTTGTCAGGGGGAGGGGTTTGAAACAGTCTGGTGTTGCTGGCTTCAAACGCTACATGTAGCAGAGGATGATGACCTTGAACTCCTGATCTTCCTGCCTCCACCTCCTAAATGCTGGGATTATACAAATGCATCACGGTATCGAGAGTCAACCGGTTTGTAATCTCAAATTCAAGATCAGCTGGGTGTCCTGTGTTTTATCTAGCCATCCTTGCCACCTCTACCGTGGCCATTATGTGGTGGTCATAGCGGCCCCGCGGACTGGGTGCCACCGCCTCTGTCTCTGTTGCCAGTGGCTGGGAGCAGAGCAGCCTCAGTCGCCCCACGGGACGCCAGGGCTTGGTTCCAGCACCCAACACACAGCATTCAGTGTTGAAACCAACTCTGTAAGAATTGGCGGGAGGGGAAAGAGGAAGCCTTGATGCGGTGATGGACCAGGGAGGCTTCCTGAAGAGCTGGCCTAGAAACAGGGCTGATGGCAGCCTGGGGCTTCCGGCTGGCCCTGGTGAGAGGCCGGACCCAGTTTGGAGGTTCAGGGAGGAGCTGGGCCTGGCCAGGGCAGGAGGTCGGAGCCGAGATAAGGCCGGATAGGTAAGGCGGGGCCGATTGTGGAGGCGCTTGAATTCCAGGCTTGGCTTTCGGACTTTACCCCGCAGACAATGGGGAGCCGGCCGCATTTCTGAGCAGGGCTGGGCAGCCCCTGTCGCCCCATTGTTTTCCTGAGAGGCCGGGCCCTGCAGTGTTGCGTCTCGACCACCAGATGGTGGTATTTCAGCAAATTTCAACCACTCCCGGTGAGCGCCATCCATCAGCCAGAGCTGCGAAACACACACCAAATCTCCCCAATCCGGGACGTGGTACAGACTCACCCCGCCAGCGAGCCTTCTCCCCTTCACAGCTTTGAGGGAGAATTTGTTGAGCTACAGGAAAGGACAGACCCGTGTTGGCCTGTGCAGCTGGAAGTTCAACATCAGCTGGCCCTCTTTCAGTGGGCCACACGCCCATTCCACTAGTTGGGAAGTAGAGGTTTGCCTTAACTCAACTGTTAGGACGTGGAGCCATGGGGCAAAGGGTGAGCCCGGAGCCCTCAAGATTCTGGTTTGATGGGCAGGGTTCCTTGCATAGTATCCGGTCTATTGTCGTTGCCAGAAAAACAAAACCAAACCAAAATAACCCCAAACCACCGTAGTACTATTGAGGGAAATAAGCCACCTGGTCGGTTCCTGGTGCTTTTTAGAGAGACACTGGTCCTCCGAGTTAGAGATTGGAACACCCGTTTTACTGGAAGGATTGTCCAAGGTCACACAGAGGGGACACACCAGAGGGCATGCTGGATCCCAGGATTGTTGCACCTGCCTATCTCATGCCTTCGTTTATCAATCAAACATAGCCTACTGTGCAGTCAATTTCTTAGCGAAACTTGTGTGTCCATACCCGAAGAGATACAAAGATTTCCTTTTTACAACTGTGTATATATATGTGTGTGTCTGTGTATGGATTTCAGGCAACTGTGAGC